AAGTTGATCCTATCCTGTAAGGATCATCTGATAGCACTACTGATAAAATGATTAGCAAAGGATATCAGATTGTATCCATAGTAAAATTGCTGCTGCTTGTGGACACCTCATGGGGAAAAAGTATTCGGAGACTACAGTTGGTCCAGAATGCAGCCGCGCGAGTGATAGTGGGTGCTCCTCGATACACCCACGTTACGCCTATCCTCCGTGAGCTGCACTGGTTGCCTATTGGTCTCCGGGTCCAATTCAAGGTGTTGGTCATTACCTTTAAAGTCTTATATGGCTCAGGGCCAGGCTATTTGCGAGACCGCCTACTACCTCATAGTTCCCTACGTCCGGTTAGATCCCACAGGCTGGGCCTCCTTCAGGCCCCGTCGGCCAAGCAGTGCCATTTGGCGGGGCCGCGGAGGCGGGCCTTCTCTGTGATGGCGCCCACGCTTTGGAATCAGCTCCCCCCGGAGATTAGGACCGCTCCCACCCTGTTGGTCTTCTGTAAGCTACTTAAGACCTGGCTTTTCCGGCAGGCCTGGGGTTTATAAAACCTTACCCCTGGATGATTGTTTTTGTATTGTTGTTTTGTTATGTTTTATGTGTTTTTTATTGTTAGCCGCCCAGAGTCCTTCGGGAGTGGGGCGGTTTATAAATTTAAAAAAAATAATAATAAAATAAAATAAAAGTCGATATTAACATAGGGACACTTCAAAGTTGCAGTTATAGAATATGGGATGCAAACTACATGAAGGCAATGTCATGGAGATAGGCCAGTGAGCAGGCCATGTTTGTAACAGATTTAGAAAGGGGAGAAGTTCCGGCATCAGATTTGTTATCCCAACTTTTATGCTCCATTTCTGAAAAGTCATCAAATTTGTTGACTTTGAGTACAAGAATTGCCACTTTAGTTTCTTCCTCAAGTTTTCTGAGGCTTGACAAAAAATTCTATTGATTAAATTAACAGAGAAGTATTTCTTTTCTGAGATTCTTGTGGCTTGTGCATAAGCAATAACAAGAAGAAAAGTAGGTGAGTAGCAGCTGACTGCAAAACCATGATGGAGCTTTTGGATATTAGGTCAGAAATATTTTTCTCAGTTTCATGCTATGAATGGTTCTTATTACTGTAACATATCCTGGGATCAAATAGTAGACGATTGGCACCACTGCAAGAAAGTCCTTTTTGCTCTTCTTGAAAAATCCTAAACACTTTAATTTTAAAACCTATCTTGCAACATGGAATCCATGGTATAAATCTGTTACATCATCTCATTTTTATTTATTTGCTTTTAAAATTTATTAGTAGCCCATCTTATCACATGGTAACTCTGGTCAGCTTAACAATATTAAACAATATATAAAACCCAATAATATAAATACAATATTATAAAAATCAACCTAGTTAAAAAGATGGGGAGGGAGGGAGTATGATGAGAAGGGGAGAGGTGAAATCTGTTGTTAATCTATCAACCACCCCCAATGTGAAATCACTCTGTTGGGACCCCAAGCCAACTGGCAGAGCCTGGTCTTTAAGTTCTATATGCAGTGAGAAGTTTCTGGGTACAGTCTTTATCAAGATTTTGTTTCCTTTGGAAGGAATCACTGACATATTATTGATGTTTTGTAATTACTTTTATTTACTTTTATTTTGTAATTACTTTTATTTATGCACCATGATGCATAAATTGATCATGGTGCAGGCACTATAATGTGAACATTTCAATTACTAGCCAACAAATCCATTTCCGCACATCAGATCTTTAAAGACTGCCAGATATCAGCAAAAGCACTCTACCAATCTTGGTTGATCTAGAAGAGGGGTCCCCAACCCTCAGTCCATGGACCAGCACCGGTCCACAGCATGCCAGAAACTGGTCCATGCAAACAAGTGAAGCCCCATCAGCAGGGTGTAGGCATCACGCAAAACCACACCCCCTCCAGTCCACGATAAAACCTCTCTCCACAGAAGTGGTCCCTGGTGCCCAAAAGGTTGGGGACCTCTGATCTAGAAAATTAAGTCTTGTCATCCTTGGTTAGTACTCAAATAGACTAGAGGACCATTGGAAAGTCTAAAACTACTTTACATTGGGAATTTGAAAAAGCTTCCCAGAAGAAAACAATGCCAAATAACTTTAAGTAAATAAGAGAATAGATTTATGGAAAAGCCCAGATCTTGTTGACTGTATTCCCATCTTGCACTCAACCCCTGTGGCTTGATTGTTTGATTTAGTATAATATATGTACTTAGTTACCATGGCTTGTTCAAACCACAATTAAAGGGAAAAAAATAGCCCAATACATGAACAGACAACATTTTTCCTAGTCTTCTTCAGACTGCAGCCTACTATTGCTTATTTATGGAAAGCATTTGCCCTTTTGTTCATCTGAAAAAGAAGTTGGGGGTGGTTTATGAAGATCAGTAATCAGACAATCCCCTTCCTGGGTGCTGTCAGAAGACATGACATAAAATGAAAACAAGGAAAGAAGAGAGAAATATCTCAGACAAAGTTCTTTTAAGCATTTGCAGACAGGATGAATGGCAATGATACACTTTATTTTAAATTGAATTGGAGGAAGTATAACACAAACCTCTCTCTCTTTACCTTGCCACATTTTATCCGTCACAGTATTTTGATATGTATATCTTGTATAGGCAGGTGATAGAGACAATGGAACCATAGAAACACAGGAGAGGAAATTGTAGAAACAATAGCATTTTTCTTATTTATACAATGTAGACGCTGCTCCTGTCCCAGAGATTTTGACCTGCTTACAATTTCAACAACAACAACAACAACAACAACAATAATGAGGAGGAGGAGGAGGAGGAGAAGGAAGTGGAGCGATTTGAACAGAAATGTATAAGCCACAACAAACTGGTGTGCTGATGTTGTGGGAACAGTGCCAGACTGGAAGGAGATAACTATGAAACTGTTTTGTCCACTGTGAGAACCTTTTAAACCTGAAAGCTGCCCTCTATGCTGGGGATGGACACTTACCCCTGTTTGTTTTCTCCTCCAGACTCAAAACCCGGAACTTTTACTACATGGTTTTTTTAAAATCTTTGTTTGATTGTGGTTAAGCAGGGAGAGTTGTGGCATGACTCAGGTGCTCAGGGGAGCTGCTGGAGATTCAGACCTCTCATGAGCTGCTGAATGCTTGAGAGAATATACAGTATGCTCTGGGATGGGGTGGACAGTCTCAGATATGTGAGAGACTTGGATGTTTTGAGAGGTGTGATTGGTCGATGATTGTGATAGTTGTGAGCGTTCAAGTAAAGGCCCAATCTTGGTTGAGCTCCATCTGGGAGATTGCAATTCTTCAGTAGTGGAAAAGATCCAGTAAAGTTGGGGTTGCTTTAAAATAATAGTAGAAAAGCAAGGAGGGAAATTCAAGTGTAGAAGAACAAGAAAGAATAAAATATGCAGGTAGTAAAGTCCTTTTCTAAAACCCAAGATGACCATGTATGGAGCAAGAGAAACTTAGAAGTTTGTTCTTAAAACTACAATAACAAGAATATAATGTAACACTGAAAAGTTACAGAACATTTCCACAAAAACTCTTTACAAAGAAAACTTGTCTCATTCTTCTGCTGAATGGAAAAAGAAGGCCCGGAAAGTTATTTTGTTATGATCATCACTCAGCTTTCTTGGAACATCTCACATTAATTTTCTCAACTGCCTTGTTATTAATAATATGGTTGATGCTGATGGTACAGAATGTGGCAGGACAGGCAGTTATGTGTGCACCTAGAACAGTGCATGTTGCACCTCTGCTCTGTGAACCGCGTTGGTTGCCAGTTTGCTCCCAAGTTCAATTCAATGCGCTGGTTTGAACCCTTAAAGCAGACATGTCAAACTCGCGATGTCATGTGACGTCGCACGACGTATCGGAGCTTTTTTTGCTATTGCCGGCAATGGGGTGGGCGCGGCTCCGGTATGATGAAACCGGCCCATGGGCCGGCAGTTTGACACCCCTGCCTTAAAGGCATTCATGGTACAAGACTGGGTTATCTAAAGGATTGCCTCTCCCCAATTAATCAGCCCGTCAGAGAAGGCATGCTGCAGGTACCGTTAGCTAGGGTTGATCATTTAGTGGGACCCAGGCAACAGGCCATCTGTGTTGTGGCATTCCCTTATGGTTTCAATGAGTCTTTCCTAATAAGGCTGACCAAATCCAATAATCTATGCAGAATTGGCCCCAAGGTCCTTTCCAATTCTGTTATAGTTGATATATTTAGGATAACGTCAGATTAATTGCATTTGGAAATGGCTGTTTTGTTAGATATGGAGAAAGCCTTTGATATGCTGTGGTTAAAATAGGATATACATGTGGTGTTATATTATATTCCAATAATTTGGGATCAAAGAAAAATGAATATATGGGCTATATATAGTTGTTTATTCCATCAAAATGACACTAGTACATTTAATTGAAGAACTAGGCTGGAAAACATGAGTTGACTTTCTACAAAGAAATTAGGTCTTTGACAGTGGGTAGTCTAATATTGCTCCACAATGCAGTCAAATTATCATTTGTTCTGTAAGACCCAAGTTTTTGTTTTATATAGATTTATTTCAATGTGCATGTTTGAATTTTATTCTTCATTCTTCGTTTTTTCCCCCATATGTAACTTTTCTATAGTGTTTTTTTAGTAGGTTGTGGTTTCCCTTTTTTTATTCACAAGTTTTAACTGGTTTTCAGAGTAGTATTTTTTCAGAGCGTAAATCCCAAAAGTGTTTCCTATAGTCCTAGCTCACAATTCGCCGCAAACCCATCAATTAAGGTCGCGTGGGAAGATAGGTGACCTGCAAAGGAGGCTATGGAAACAAGCGCGGCTCAGCCTCTTCTTCCCAACAATCCAGGTTGTTCCTGGTCCCTATCAAACTACCAGCCCAGCAGCCCGCTCTGTCTGTCTCTGTCCCTTTAACTATCCCCTGCCGATAGGATGACACGCATGCGCAGGGACTGTTCGAGTCCTGTCGCTGGCGGCGCGGGGGGGGGGGGGAAGGCAGGGGAGACCCTGCGAGGCTACCCTGTGCGCTTAAGCTCCCGCAATGCCAAGCTCGCTTTCTTGCGCTCAGGCCTGAGGCGCCGCCTGGAGAATTTCAAGGCGCAGCTGCAGCAGCTTTACCGGTTGCTGGCATCCGCCGCCGACCGGCAGCCCCGTCCCTTCGCAGAAGCGGCAAGGGGAGCGGCGGCTTCTCCCCCCCCCCCCTCGGGCCAAGCCGACCTTTGTCCCTCCGGCTGGCCCGCGCAGCTGCTGGGCTTGCCTGGGAAAAGGGAGCCCCGCGGGGTTCCCCGTGTTTCTAGAGCGACAGCCCTGGCTTCCGTCGCCCTCCCTTCCCCGGCGACAGCGCATTGTGACCCGTGCTGAGTTCACCTGCCTTGCAACGGGCGGGCTTTGGCTGCATGAAAAGACTCCCCCCCCCTCCCCGCCCAGAAACGCGAGGAAAGCTGCCTTCTTCACGCCCGCGCCCCCCTCCCCGCCCGCCTGCGTGTAGCCTGCTGCTTCATCTTTTGTCTGCCTCTCTTCTCTCTGCTGCGTGGGGTGGGCGGATGGGAGGAAGGTCGCCTTTCTCCGGCTCTTCCAGCATCTCCCTCTTGCTCTTGGGATGCTTTCCCGGATCTGGTGGCCACCAGCCGATGATGTCCAGCTAGGTAAGTGAATTTCGTGTTCCCAGATCCTCATATCCCTCTTTTCCTTTCTTTGGATGATGGAACCTGGTGTTATTTTATCTCTGCGGCCCTGAGAGATAGCAAGGTGGTCTCTTTCTGAACAGAAATTCTGAAGTTCCCAAAGCAAATAGCCTCATTCTTTCCTGGCTGGAGAGTTTCAAAACCTCATCGTTGCTGTTGCGCTTTTCTTCTTCTTCTTCTATGAATGAGCCCCACCCTTTTGTCTGTCTGTCTTAAAGGGCCTCCACTGTCTAACTACTATGTCTTCAGCAGCAGCTCTTCTGTCTCAAGCAATCTGAAGAGGCCCAAAGGTTTTGTGGTCTGAAGAACAGTTTGATGGATGCTGGAATGTCAAGTTGCAAAGTGGATGGCAGTGGTGGTGGCGGTGTTGCTGTTCTGCGGAGGTCCCAGGCCAGGGAAGGGGTGGCCCAGCGAGAAGAAGAGCAAGAAGAAGATGGAGATGAAGATCTCCGAGATGGAGGAGTCCCTTTCTTTGTGAACCGTGGAGGGCTTCCCATCAATGAAGCCACCTGGGAAAGAATGTGGAAACATGTGGCCAAGATCCATCCTGAGGGAGATTTGGTAGCTCTGAGGATCCGGGGAGCCACTGATCTACCCAAGGTGAGAGGAAAAAGAATGTTGGAGGAAACTGCTTCCTTGACATCAGTCAACAAAAAGGGAAATAGGAAAAAAAAATAACTGGAAATCAATGCCAGGGCTTTTCTAATTTGAGTCTGACAGTAAATGGATGTGAATCACCGATTAAGGTTGCAAGTGGGAGGGATCCATCTATATCTCCACATAAACATAATCTAATTTATCTGTTTAACTCATAAACGTGCCACTAAGTTAAGCTTAGTTTTTGCTAAGTGTACATATCCAAGTAGATTTATTTGCATAAATATGAAAGTGTTAATCATAACCTTTTTCCATGATGATTTTGAGTAGCCTATTGCCATGTGATTTGCTGCTGGTTTTCTATCTAAATACCTACTGTATTATGATTTATATCTATAAGAGTTCTATGAAATAGTATAACTAGCTTTAAGAATCTGAGGCTAAGAAAGAAACAGTTTTGAGGAAAGCAGCTTAGAAAAAAAGTACTTTTAACATTGGATTGAAGTGATATTTTTGACTATAGGTCTATGTTGTATGGTATATTAATGTTATTCTTTGTCACATTAAACTTACAGTGTTTGGGAGATACTTACATGTTATGAGGTCATGCCAGATATGTTTTGAGTCAATAATATGTGGATATTGCAATTCTTTAGACAGTTTCCTATTCTTTTGGAAAGTGTTACTTTTGTCTTTCCAGCCTGGAAAACATGATCTAAATTTGCTATTCAGAGCCACATTTGCTATACAGAGCACACAAAAGGGAGGACTTTATTTCCGGACGTTGACTGTATAATTTGAACTGATTGACTTTATCTGAATTCTAAATAAGAATTAGTTTCTTATTTAGCTCATGTAAATAAAAACTTGTGTAACTGTATTGTGGGGATTGTACCAACTGCCAAAGTTAAGAGGAACAAGTGTATAGGAAAGGTTAAGAACATTTGGGTTATTTCCATCAAATATAGTGTAACCTTTTCAGCTTTGCCTTTTGACTATGCTTCTTGACAGTTCTGGAAGTCCCAGACTCTACTTATCTATGTTAAGATCAGGTTATCAGCAGGAGAAGACTGTTGTAGTATGTGATTCAAACTTTATTTTCATGAAAGTACATGATGTGCAATAATGCCAGATGACTAGGTTAAATGGGTAAAGGCAAGTAGTATCTTAGAAAGGATAAATGAAAAGAGGTATTGCTAAAACTGGAAACAGAGTGCAATTCACTTGATATAGACCAGGGATCTTCAAACTTGGCCCTTTTATGCCTTGTGGACTTCAACTCCCAGAATTCCTCAGCCAGGCATGCTGGCTAAGGAATTCTGGGAGTTGAAGTCCACAAGTCATAAAAGAGCCAAGTTTGAAGACGCTGATATATAGACTGTGTCAGCTCTTAATAATTGGCTTACACTGGACAAAATGTAATCTATTTGCTGCAAAGAGCACTATAGCAAAGGCCTGTTGATGTCGGTGGCTTTCAGCAAGGAAAAAGCACTTTTGGGACTTTTAGCAAAGAACTTTTTTGAAAATGCATTGATGTGATAACCTGCTTAGTTTTGACAATGATAGCAGAAACTGAGAACAGGCTGTTCAAATAATCAGAATAAATCTATCTGCCTTTTGGTTTTCCTTCGTGCAACTACATTTTTGTTATGCTTTTTTTAACAGAATGGAAGAAATCTGTTCAGCTATTAGAGACTTCACTTACAAGACATTGGATTATGAATTACTTTGGATTTGAAGAGGAAAAGGTGATGGTTCAGAGTGTGTGCAAGCACACATGGGACACTTGCCCATGTGCCCACCAGACCACCTATTCCCTTTTGAATCCAAATAATTGTGCAGCCCTACAAGTTATATATTCATTCAAATAACTGTTTTTAAATATGTGCTTAGCCTAGGGGCCACTCAACTGGCTCAGCACTCTGTGTCCTCAAAAGACTGAACATGGGGATTGTGGTGCCATTGCTAAGTTGGCCAGCTCAACAAGCTTCACTAAGTTGTTGGGACAACATATAAATTTTACATTGTTGTTATCATTATTTGGCTCCATGAGGTGAATTACCATTGGGCAAATTCAAAAGACTTGTGGCAAACCTGTGTAATTAACTTTAGCAGGTTTCCCGTATCCACTGAAGTCATGGTTTCTAGAGTATCATGAGCCAGAGCCTGTCTCTGCCTATAGGAATTGACTTGGTAGCAATTTTCCTGTCATGCAGCAGTGCCCAAATAAGCTGCTTGCTGTCGAAAGGGTGAACCTGCTCCACAAGGCTTCCCTCACCACCTCATACTGCACCACCTCATACTGCATCCAGTTTTGGTCACCACTATGTAAAAAAGATGTTGAGACTCTAGAAAGAGTACAGAGAAGAGCAACAAAGATGATTAGGGGACTGGAGGCTAAAACATATAAGGAACGGTTGCTAGAATTGGGTATGTCTAGTTTAACGAAGAGAAGGACAAGGGGGGACATGATAGCAGTATTCCAATATCTCAGGGGCTGCCATAAAGAAGAGGGAATTGAGCTATTTTCCAAAGCACCTGAAGGCAGGACAAGAAGCAACGGGTGGAAACTAATCAAGGAGAGAAGCAACCTAGAACTAAGAGAAACTTCCTGACAGTGAGAACAATTAATCAGTGGAACAGCCTACCTCCAGAAGCAGTAAATGCTCCAACACTGGAAGTTTTTAAGAAGAGACTGGACAGCCATTTGTCCGAAATGGTGTAGGGTTTCCTGCCTGAGCAGGGGGTTGGACTAGATGACCTCCAAGGTCCCTTCAAACTTTACTACTATTACTATTACCCCCAGTACTGTGCTGTGTTATCACTTGTTCATCTTGGACAGATGGGAAAGTCTTCAGAAAGGTTGCAGTGAATACAAAAAGAGTCATTTGTACTAACAGGAGAGTGTGTTGGAATGAACAGGGCTGCATTTCAGAGTCATTGCAGTACTGAAATACATTCTGTATCTTCTGCTGCTCAAGACCATGTTGCAGCTCCTGGATTTGGTTTATTTTATTCCTGTGCCTTATTGCCAAGCTTTGTCTTTCCTTGATGTCTTGAAATGTAATACTATCTGTGCTGTCTGGATGCTTAGAACACGAGATCTTCACATTTCCAAAGCCTAGGAAGGAGGTTTTGTTCTGCAGACATTTGCATCTGGATAAATTCCAGCCCAAAATTCTGAGTCAGATATGGGTGTCTGGCAGGCCTAGTGATTCAATGACAGGAAATCACATATAGATTTCTAAGTGGTTGTGTCAGCACTACAAGAGATAAATGGCAGAGTTTGAATATTCACAGTATACTCACTGTGCTGCCTTTAGGGAAATGTTTGCACTACAGCAGTGCTTGCAGCTTGATTAATATGTGACATCAGGTTGGTGTCATTGTGACAGCTGCATGGACAGATCTTCACAGAATAATCTGTCCCAATCTGTTTCTTTAGGTGTCTCAATAGTACCTCTGTAATTGCTGTCACTGAATCCATCCATCTTTGAACTTCATGACTAGAACTCACAAGTTATTTGTATCTTTAGCCGTCAGAGTATTGACGTAGGCATAGTGTTAGTTATTGACATTTCTTCAGCCGATTTAAAAACCACTTTCATCTTCCAATTCAGCTTCTCTCAATATATGTTTTGCACATAGGATAAATAAATAATTGGAGAGTATATAGCCTTAACTCACTCTTTTGCTGACCTAGAGCCAGTCTTTTTCACTATGTTCTGTCTAGACCAAGGGTCTTCAAACTTGGCCCTTTTATGACTTGTGGACTTCAACTCCCAGAATTCCTCAGCCAGGCAGTGCCTGGCTGAGGAATTCTGGGAGTTGAAGTCCACAAGTCATAAAAGGGCCAAGTTTGAAGACTCTTGGTCCAGACTATGACTTCCTAAGTTGTGTTACAGAGAGTCCTTGACTTACGACCACAATTGAGCCCAAAATTTCTGTTGCTAAGCAAGACAGTTGTTAACTGAATTTTGCCCCATTTTGCAACCTTTCTTGCCACGGCTGTTAAATGAATTGCTGCAGTTGTGAAGTTAGTACCCAGTTGTTAAATGAAACTGGCTTTGCCGTTGACTTTGCTTGTCAGAAGGGTTTCAAAATGAGCTGTTCAGGCATTCCCATTTTCCTAAAGAGATTCCAGAGGATGATATGATTAATATACATCAAAGGTCTTTTTATAATCAATGAAGCATATACTGGCTTATTTTGTTATTTTGGGACTTTCTCAATTATCCAATGTGTATCAGCAATGGTTTGTATTCCTTTTCTAAAGCCAGCTTTAACATCTGCCATCTCCTTTTCCACATAAGTCTCTAATCTGTTTTGGATGATCCTCAACATTATTTTTCTAGCATTTGAAATTAAGCATATTCCAGTAGCTTTCCACTTAGTAATGATTAGAGCACTGATCTAACTTCATTCTCTGGAATTAAAAGTTCTTATAAATAGATAATATTTTCTGAGGTATCTTGGATACTGTTACAGAATTTTAGTTTACTTCTTCCATCTTTGCTGCAAAAATATTCTAAATTGTAATTATTCCCAGTGAAGCTTTGTCTTTTCATTGGACATTTCCCAACATTAAATGTTGTAAATCTTGATGTTGTCTATGATAGTTGCTTTCTGATATGCCCATGCAGAAAATGGAAATAGCATTTGCTTTATAACTATGCTTCCAAGTGTCACATAGCTAAGAATTTTATTTAAAAATGGTGACTGGTATTTTGTCTGAAAATATACCTTTCTGATCCCCCCATCAAAAAAGAAAAATAATTTTTAGTGGAACAATTAAAATCATTTCGGGAGAACTACAACAGGTGGCAGAAAGCAACATCACCAGCTTGGCTTCTTATGAAAAACAGTTTAATAATTTTGGTCACATTTCTATTCATTACATGATCTCAGCTTTCCAAATATGCTGGTTCTGCCCTATTATCCCAGTCACACATTCCTTGCTCCCACACTTTCCAGATTGTATGCCAAGATCGCTACAGTTATGAAGTTAGTAACACAATTATTAAGTGAAACTGGTTTCCCCATTGACTTTGCTTGTCAGAAAGTCACAAATAGGGATCACATGATCCCAGAACACTGCAACTGTCATAAATATGACTCTGTTGCTAAGCATCTGAATTTGATCCCATGACCATGGGGATGCTGCAATGGTCATAAGTCGTGACTTTAAACTGTTGTAAGTTGAGGACTATCTGTAAATGTTTTCTCTAATGTCACCAAGAGAATCGCATGGATGTAATCCCTAGGAGTTAGGCTTTTCTCAAGAACATCTTTACATGTTTAAGCATGAGCAGAACACAACTTTGTGTCATTCAAGTATAATACCTGAAAAGATTAGTATAACTACTCTATCTTGTGCAAATTTGCATTTCTTTCTTTAAATATCAACTGGTTAGGCTTGGAATCTACAAATATATAGACTAAGATATGGTAAGGCAATATGTTGGTAGCATCTCATAATTTTGAAAGTTCCTTTCAAGACATTGTGGAAAGGGCAGTTGGAGTTCAGCAGTTGGTGGAATGCAAAACATCTTTAACATTTCTGTTTAATAATTTCTGTTTAACAATTCCAGTAGTTCACACTCTTTTTAAAATAAAATAATAGCTCCCCCCCCAAAAAAAGCTTCCATTTTACAAATTACTATTTGCATGCTAATAACATTTTGATAGAATAAATAGTAGCAGGGAAATATCACAAGTAAGTATTATTGTAGCATCTCAATTAGTTTGGAGTTAAGAGGAAGAAGTTATTGTCTTTCATTCTGCCCTCCCTGTCTCTTAAGGGACAGAACCGGAATCCTTAATATGATGGAAATCTTAACTTAGTCTGGGTTCAAGAGCCAAGTGGTCTATATACAGTGTAATTAATTCCTCATCATTCTTAGTTGCTTAAATGAGAAGCTAGTTATAGCCACAGGACCTACACATTTTAAGTGGTTTCCATTATATTATGTAGAACTCCATATGTCCTATGCTAAAGAAGATGGAGAGAAGCAGTGAGAATTTCTTTTCCATTTAAAAAAGGAGCCGTAGAAAGAATGGTTAATCTAAGGGCAACCAGGATACGCTTCTCTAAATACCTCTGCAAAGAAGTTTGTAACTTTGCTAACTGGGAGTTATGGCCAGTTGTACCTTTAGGCAGAGTTAAGTGGCAGCCAGTTTGGGGTGATATAAAAGAGACAGCAGCTTACCACCAATTGACTCATACATTTTTCCTGCTTGGAAGATGGAAGTGCTTAAGGGGTTTTCTGCTTCAAATGCTGAAATAACTTGGCTATCAGATATTGGAAGAGGACAACTTAAGAAATCAAATATCTGGGACTAGCCCTGCTGGGAAAGACTCTTCATTATTTCTTATTAGAACTAAAGAGTGTTTTCCCACTCCTCAGAAATTGCCTAATGTACTTTGTTCTGAGGAATAAACACATATCTCATGTTCAGATATTTCAAAACTTTCCACCTTGTTTTCTGAAAAAGATGAACCATGCCAAATTCTTGCCCTTCTGTTTGTATATTGTTAAAATATCACAATTATTCTTAGCTTGATTAGTCCTGATGAGTTTAACTACAACTCCCACAATTTCAAAGCATCTTAGAATTAATGAAGTTGTAATATAGCACTTATAGAATGCATTGTTCTGACTTAGAGAAAGGAGTATATGGAAGAAAAGTTTTTATCATCATTAGAGTTTTTTCTTTGCTAACTTATCATTAGACATTATTAGTAGGTTATTATCATTAGCCTACTACAAGTAATCCTTGTGACAGCAAATGGCTTCCCCTTCAGTCATTAAGCAAAATGCTGTGGTCATTAAGTGAAAAATATCACATGACCACAGCTTATGTTTTACTTCTGCATTCTCTATTAACTCTGCTTGTCACAAGCTGATTGTTAAGCTTGCAAGTAGTGATCACATGACTGACGGATGCTGCAGTGGCCATAAATGTGTGCCAGTTGTAAAGCACAGGAATGGTGATCCCATGACCATGCGACATTGCAATGATCATAAATGTGTGGATTTGTCACAAAGTTAATTTTTTTTACACTATTGTAATTTCAGACAGTTGATGCATGAGGCAATTGGTAAAGGGAGGACTACCTATAATAGGCTGAGGCAGGCAGTCTTGTGGCAATCTTAATATTAATAAATGACATTGTCCAGTAGCTCCAGACAGTGTAATTATGATGAAAGATGCTGGAAGTTGTAGTTGATTTGCCTCTGGAGTGCTACAGGTTTTCTTCTTTTCAACTAGAATATAAATGGAATTTCATTTTTGACTTAGTGATCTTGAATCTCATTTTCTCCCTCCCTTCTTATCTTTAGATCCCCATACCAAGTGTGCCTACTCTACAGTCAACCACTCTCATCCCTGAGCGCCTGGAAACTATACAGCGCTATATCAGGGAACTTCAGTATCCTTTCTGCTGTATTTGAATCTCCAAGGAATGAAAAGAGAAGCAAAGCAACTTTCTTATTTAACCCCAGAAGGAAATAATTCGTTAATATTCCAGCTGTACTGGGAAAAGAACTCCGCCCCCCCCCCCCATTCAGTAGGCTGGTGTTTGTTCGAGCCAGTGGCTTTACTGCCTTATTCATTTCCTTTAGCTTATTCCCTTGGCATTCGGTCATCATTGTTGTAAGCAGGCCAGAGGTAACTTTTCAACGTTTGTTTTGCTACATCAGAAATACAGCATTCAAAAGTCATTTTCCTTGATGCCTTTCCAAATGCATGGAGGAAAACCTGGGACTGTAGAAAAAACGGGGAGTGCTTTGAGTGTGCATTGCCGCAACTAGACTCACTGGCACCGATAGCAGTATTTTGTGGGGGTCATTATTGGTGAAAGAAAAGCTAAACTTTTCTGCTGCGTGCACTGTAGTCCCTGAAAACTACACATACACACTCACATCTATCAATGTTTTTAATAATTTGCTTATGCTTTCTTTTTCCCCCATCCTCCAGCAGCTCTTCCAAACCAAGCATCCCTTAACTTCTTATTCCCAGATACAATCACACTGGGACACAGTTCTTTGAAATCAAGAAAAGCAGGCCTTTGACTGGGTAAGTATCATCTTTCTTGAGAATGGTTCTTTTTCTTACCCTAACTCTATTACAAGAACACAATTTTTTTTTAGTTCAGATCAATGAAACAGCCACAGCAAAAATGTTATATAATCTGGTAAAGAAGCAATTTATGCTTGATTCCCAGACCTGCTCGCTCCTTCAGTACATTTCAGTATTTCTAAACTCTTGCAACATAGCCATAATTGGAGTCTAGCTGATGTGATAAATATGGGTGGAGACAGTGGTGGGATTCAGCCGGTTTGCACCGGTTTGGTTTCGGCAGAACCGATACCTAATGTATCTTCAGTTCGGCGAACCGGTTGTTAAAGTGGCACTTGAAAAAAGCAGAGTCCACATACACATCTGCCTCACGCTTGCCCTGCGTCCACTATGCTCTCCACGGCGCACTGCAGCTGATCTGAGGTGGCCGGCCAGGCACAGAAGCACCACCAAAAACAGCAGAGTCTTTGTGTATGCCTGCTACATGCTCACCTGTCAGCTGCGAGGATCATCGCAATGATTGCGCCGGTTCCATCACTTGCAGAAGGCCATGAGGCTCATTGTGCCGATCGCACGCCGAGCCTCACAGCCTCCTGCAGCAAGCGGCGATGCCAGTGTGATGAGCCTCGAGGTCTCCTGTAGCTTGCCCACGCATTCCTTGACCCTTAAATAGTATGGCAGCGAAAATCCGGTACCAGGGAAAAAGACCCTGTGTTTTGAGATGCCAGACTGGTGTTCATTCATGTGCCTCCAATCCCCTTGCTTGCTGCAAAGCCAAATTGGTGTCCTCGGGCCACTCCTTCCAGCCCATTTCAGAGCCGGTCCAAAAGCGAAGGGAATGTTCCCACCTCACCCAATCGCTGTGGAGTTTCATTTCCAAAGACCCTCTGCACAGGCTCTGGATCAGTGGTGGGATTCAAATATGTGAACAACCAGTTCTCTGTGTGGATGCCAGTTCCAGAAGTCCATTCTGGGCCTGAGCAACAGAAAATTAGCTACCGGTTCTACCGAAGTGGTGCGAACTGGCTGAATCCCACCACTGCTCTGGACAAACCGAGATCTGGGACTGCAAAAGCAGCAATGAGAGTGAAGGGTTTTTCAAAGGAGGAGGAAGAAAGAGAAAGTGGAAGAAGTCACTACCAAACACGCGAGGCATGGCAGGTGTTGGGGCGTGGTAGGCCTGGCTGTGGGGGCCCTTCAGCATGGTAAGCAGGGAGCATGATCAATGATTTGGATGAAGGAAGATATGGAGAACTCATCAAATTTGCAGATGATACCAAGCTGGCAGGAATAGCCATCACTCCAGAAGACAGGCTTAAGATACAGAAGGATCTTGACAGACTTGAATATTGGGTGCTATCTAACAAAATGAAATTCAATGGTGAAAAAAGTAAGGCAAGAAAAACCAATGCACAGGTACAGTATAGGTGGTACCTCAGTCAATAGTAGTACTGTGTTTTCCCTAAAATAAGACCCGATCTTATTTTTTGTTTTGCTTCCAAAAGAGGCAACAGGTCTTATTTTTGGGGGATGTCTTACTCATCTCCGGCACCGACAGCCCTGTCCAGCAGGTCCACTTCTTCTGGGGCTGAAGAAGCAGCTTCATTCTGCAGTTGCATTCTGCAGTCAGGCCTTTCGGGAAGGCCTCTGCAGCCAAGTACCGAGCTATGGATTCAAGAGGTCTTGCAGAACCAAGCTATGGATTGAATCCATAGCTCGGTTCTTGGCTGCAGAGGCCTTCAGAAAGGCCTGTGACTGAGAAATGCAGGCCAGGCTGCAGAAGTGGGCTGGCGAGGAGAGGCTGGGCTACAATGTAAGTGGTTGCAGGGCACATGGGGCAGATCCACCCTCACCCGCGCCCTAGCTTGATTTTTAAGTGTGTCCCTCACCCCAAAACTAGGGCTTATTTGGGGGGTAAGACTTATATTAGATCCACACCTAAAAATCAAGCTAGGGTATATTTTTGGGGTAGGCCTTACTTTCGGGGAAACACGGTAACTGTGAGAGGGATCTTGGACTCCTAGTGGACAATCACTTAAATATGAGCCAGCAGTGTTCTGCAACTGCCAAAAAAGCCAACACAGTGCTAGGCTGCATTAACAGAGAGATAGAATCAAGACCATGTGAATACCATTTTATAATGCCTTGGTCAGGCCACATACTGCATCCAGTTTTGGTCACCACGATGTAAAAAAGATATTGAGACTAGAAAGAGTACAAAGAAAAGCAACAAAAATGATCAGGGGAATTGAGGCTAAAACATATAAAGGCTGGTTGCTGGAATTGGATATGTCTAGTTTAATGAAGAGATGGACAAGGGGTGACATGATCACAGTGTTCCAGTATCTCGGGTTACCACAAAGAAGAGGGAGTCAAGCTATTCTCCAAAGCACCTGAAGGCAGGACAAGAAGCAACGGATGGAAAGTAATCAAGGAGAGAGCAACCTAGGACTAAGGAGAAATTTCCTGACAGTTAGAACAATTAATCAGTGGAACAATTTACTTGCAGAAGTTGTAAATGCTCCAATACTGGAAGTTTTTAAGATGAGATTAGATAACATTTGTCTGAAATGGTATAGGGTTTCCTGCCTAAGCAGGGGGTTGGACTAGAAGACCTCCAAGGTCCCTTCCAATTCTATTATTCTATATTCCATATTCTATATTTTCTTTCTTTTCAGGCTGATCTCCACGTATGTATTATCTGACAAAACCTTTAAAATATTATTATTATTGCTTGTTCCTTTGACTTGTCTCATAGGCTGATGGATCTGGCCAAAGAAATGACAAAGGAAGCCCTGCCAATCAAGTGTTTGGAAGCTGTGATCCTAGGAATGTATCCTTTTATTTTAGAAGACTAAATGATGTACACAGTTTCCAGAGATAACACATCAATCCTACTGTACTTATGCTCTGATTCATAATATGCATACTATCCATTTAATTTTCTTCTTGCTTTAGACAAGAAGCATAATAGCGAACACAAGGGATGCCCTCATTTTCTAATTAGGAATATCTTTATTTGATTGGCAGATTCCTTTTTTATTGTACTAATAATTTAGGAATCACATCCTATTTTGAGAGAATTATGTCTTGTGTCCCAGTATGTCTTTTAATTATAGGTTTCCCCTTGCTTTTCTTGTAACATTGTGAGTGCAGTTGGAATAGGATTTTCACTACACTGCATGTTTGAATTAGTGTTAGAATTAGTGTTAGGAGGTGCTATGGGACCTGTATTATAAACCTTAGAATTGTCGTTATGATGTTAGATCTGCCCAAACTCATAAACCTGAAGACTAATAAAAGAAATCTGATGCACCAGAGCCAGATCCAAATACATGGATGGTCTGGACACCATTCAGTTGAGATTTATCTATAGATAGAGAAAATAGGCTTGGTATTTTGTCATATAGAAAAAAACCTAATCCTTCAGATGTTTTAGATGTACCTCCTCAAATCTATGATCATGTTAGTTTAACCTGATAAGAGATAAGAATTAAGCCTAAAATATGTAAAAAAAAAATAGAGTGATGTTCATTACTTTTCTTTATTATGCCACCTATTTCCTGAATATTTCATCATCAATAGTTACCTCACCAACAACATGCCGACACTGGACCGCTTCCCCATCAGTTTCAAAACTTACTTCTCAGGGAACTACTTCCACCATATTGTGCTGGGAGTGAACATTGGGGGCCGCTATGGGGCGCTTGGCATAAGTCGGCGCGAGGATCTCATGTACAAAGCTCCCACCTTCCGCACACTGAGTGAGCTTATTTTTGACTATGAAGAGGCATATCGGTGCTGTTGGCATACCCTCAAAAAGGTGAAGCTTGGCCAGTGTGTGTCTCATGATCCACATAGTGTGGAGCAGATTGAATGGAAGCATTCTGTCTTGGATGTGGACAAGCTGAGCCGTGAGGACTTCCGCAAGGAGCTTGAGAGACATTCCCGTGACATGAGGCTAAAGGTGAGGGGAAGGGAGAAAAATAAGAGCTGATTGTTTAATCTACCTCTTATAAAGCATGGGTGAGTGGCCTTAACTGAGTGCCTGGGGATTGCACTTAAATGATTTTGGAACCACATTGATTGGGTTGATGATTTAGAACAGATGGAACAATGTCATATACACATGAGTCTTGGAGGGTGTTATTTGTTTTATAACAGTTAAGCCTGTTTTGGACTTATTGTATGCTGTCGTTTTTGTCTAGTTCCCATCTTGAAATAGAGAGGACCTATTTCAGAGGATAGAATAGAGAGGATGGCATTTGGGCCAACACCACCTATAAGCTGTTTCATCCATTTTTGGAATCAGAGTTGAAGGCGCCCTGGGATCTACAAAATTTTGGTGGGGGATTCATGTGTGGTTCAGGTTGCTCACCACTGCCTTAATTAAATATTACTCAGTTGATTTGCTCTTAATTGCATGAAATCTGTTATAGAAAATGTGATTTATTTTTTTTACCACTGGAAAGAAAGAATAATTGTTGTTATATGTTTCTTAAGGCTAAGTCTTTGGATGTGTTCATTTGGCTAATGATAATTAGCAGTAACTTGCTCTTTCTGTAGATATATTTAGATGAGCTTTTATATACAAAATTTTGGTGAAGTAGCTTGAACAGTCAAAAGACCTAAACAATGTTAAAAATACGGCAAGCTCCTCCCTAGTTTTGTATCAAGAGAAAAGCCTGAGGGTATAAAGTTTCTCTTTCCCTAGATCAGCAAAGCAACTGGGCCACCATCACCCACCAAGGATAGGAAAAAGGATGTACCATCCCCACAGCGTAACCAATCCAGTCCACATCGCCGCAATAGCCGGACAGAAAGGCGGTAAGCCTGCTATACTTTGTTTTACCTTTATGTAGCTTTTGGTTTCCTGGTTTTTGCTATAATTTAAGCATATAACTTTTTGTCCTATGTGTGTAGAGACATATTTTACATAATTCTTCTTATATCAGTATATACACTTCGCACATACTTTTTCTTTCTACTTTTAAGCAACCTGTTTGGTTATTGCTCCCAGTGACAGTTTGAAATTAAATGATTGATTGAATGATCAATCTCACGGATTTTAGAGAACGACCATTAACTGAATTATAGCTTCTTTCCAACAGAGCAATATTTTGCATATTTACATGCAATTCCAGGGGACACAATGGCTCAGTGGTTAAAGATGCTGAGCTTGTCAGCTGGAAGGCTGACTATCTGGGTTCGAGACCTGAGTGCTGCACGATGGGGTGAGCTCCCATCACTTGCCTCAGATCCTGCCCACCTAGCAGTTAGAAAGCATGCAAATGCAAGTAGATTAATAGGTACCACTTTGGTGGGAAGTTAACAGCGTTTCATGTGCCTCGGCATATAGTCATGCTGGCCACATGACCATGGAAAATGTTGTCACACAATGCTGGCTTCCTTGGCTAAGAAATGGAGATGAGCATCACCCCCTAGAGTCGGAAATAACTGGACAGGTAAACCTTTACCTTTACCTTACATGCAATTATGTTCTTTGCTAAGTGGTACTATTCCCAACAAGGATGTTTGTTAGAAATCTGAGTTAGAATAGATATGGATATCCTTGGAAAGCATTGCACAAACTCCTCCCTTCAGTGAATACTCATCACAGAAAAATAGCGGAGGCCATCTGCAAGAAATGGCCTTCACCCATTGCATTCTTGTACTGTGAGCTCATTGTCATAATGAAAGCTCATTAATAGAAGGAAACAGGCACTGCTTCCAACCTCCTTCTCATGGTTCCCCCCCCCCCATTCAAGCAAGAAAAGGATGACAAACCTCTTCCTGACTTATTGTATGACTCATAGAAGGAGAGGTGCTTTTGCCATGTCAGGGCTTTAAGAACTCTGCTTTAATTATGTCCAGAATGTATCCTTGAAGAATATGTGGGTTGATTACCTAGCTAAGCTCTACAGATAACTGTAACAATTTAAATACTAAAATAGTTAAGACATTTTCTTGTTAGAATGTGCAGACTCTTTTCATTTGCTCATTTCCTTTTTTCTTCTTCTTCTTATTTTCATTGTGCAGACCATCTGGAGACAAGAAACCTACAGAACCAAAAGCCATGCCCGATCTTAACGGTTACCAAATCAGAGTATAAAGATCTTCTCATTTGTGGACCATTTGGTGGAGAGCATTTGAAGCAACACTACCTATAAGATGTGCGGTGTGGGAGGGAATGCAGAGGGTACAAGTGCAAATTTTCCAAGGTATTTATTTACTTGGGGTGGCATCCTGTGGATTAGAGGATAGCCATTTCTTTGAATTATATCAGGAACTAAATACACCAACTAAACAAAAAAAATTAAATAGATCTTCCACCAGTTATTCATTGTTCTACATAGTGGCAAGGGAAGATACATTTTGCAAAGTAAGAGTAAAAGCCCTTTCTGTGCTATTTTTCAGCCCACACAGAAGTAGAATGCTTTTGACTTCAAAAAACCCCATAGTAGGCTGTGTGTCTATCTGCTTTTGAAGGAACTAAGTTAGCAGGAGATCTAGGAGATGGACAGGGGCTAGAAGCAAAAACAAAAAAAACTGACTCCTATGGAAGAAGTTTTTAATTTGTACTTTCTGAGAATTTTAATATTTTTAATAACTTGGGGAGTGGGGAAAGCTTACCATATTGTTGCATATGCTCTAAAATCATCAATGTGATCCTAGTGTTTTTGTTTCAAATAATGAATTGCCTAGGATGAAAATACACATCATACAACTCCCACTGCAAACTGGCTAACTGTATTCTCAAGATACACGTTTTGTAAATAAAAGATAGTTTAGGAATTGCCTGTGTTTGGGGGCATGGACATCAGATGAATGCAAAAGCTTAATTGGCTTGTCATGGCGGTACCTGATTGTGATGCATTCTAGAGATTAATTGGAGACCAAGTTTCCACTTTCCTCACTTTGTGGTGCTACTCTAGATTTGACTGTTGTTAGAGTAATAGGAGCTTTCAGGTGGCAGCAGAACAGTCCCAACCTGATGCTCTCCATATGTGTGTGGAATTGCAGTCTCACCATCTGGAGGGTATTTTGTTGAGAGAAGGCTGCTGGGTAAGCATATCTCTGGTTTCTTGGAAAAGAGTGTCTTACTTATTTATAGAAACATGACCCTTGCTCTTTCTCCCTGACAAGATGTGAATTCATTCCTGCTGTATGAAATTGTATACTGAGGGTTCCTAGAACGTGTCAAGTAGTAGCAGTGTATTTAGATATTTACACAAGGATCAGATCCTGGGATATGTCTTTTTCTGTATTCTCTTTTCTGATCTTTCTCCTCCCTTCTCGACTTGTGCAAAGTGGGTAGAAACACAGAGTTTATCTGTGGAACCAGTATTTTATTGCTTTTTCTTCATGCTATGTTTTTAGGGTAAATATGCATTACTTTAGTAGTGCATCCTTTTCTCTTGGATGTTTTATTAAGTAAATATGGTTACTAATATTGGCAGAAGCCAAACTTAATTTTGAACCTCCTCAGCAGTTCAGTCCATATCCCTTTGACCTTGAACTAGCAAACTGCAGAAAGTTTGGTAGACTTTAGAGGCCTGAATAGAAAACTCTCTAGTGGCCATTGTTAAAAAAATATGTGGACACCCGGAAAGCAGAAAAAACTGGACATTTAGTATTTATTAAGTTACATGAAAAGGCATGTGATGGGCCTCTTAGACGCCAGTAATTTGAGAAACCTCTAAGGAATCTCATGCTAAGTCTTCACTTAACCATAGTTTTATTACCTAAGCATCTTATATACTAAACAGTTAGTACATGCAAGCCACTGAAAGAAGTGATGATGTACAATGTAAGGAGAGAAATCCAGAGAGACCTTAAAACACTTGACCCACTCTGTTCTCCAGTTTAGGATATAGCTTTCCTATAATTGCAAGAAAAATAGATTTTATTATTATTGTTCCCTACCATCTTTGTCACATATATTATCCTTCAGGGTTTTTAAAAACATAATGTTTTTGTAGCAGAATAGATCTGCTATGAATTAAACAATTAAGATTCTGATGTGCCTTGCATGTCTCTACGTATAAAAACAGGGAGCATTTCTGGTGAATAGTATTGCATTTTATATATACTGAGAAGGGGGAAAGGGGGATGATATGGGCTCAAAAACAAGGAGGAGATCTACACTACATTAGATAGTTTAGAGGCAGTGACAAGGAAGCACACATGAAATATTCCCACACTGTTCTATTGGGTACATATAAAATGTTGAGATCATGCCATGTGTGATTTCATAGAATGATTACTATTGTAGGATATAGATATTCATAACATGGCTACAATATGTATATGGCCAGGCATAAAATGCCTATTTACTAGATAATATTTCCTGTCATTTCCTCTAGCCCACACAGATTGTTTCATATTCTATTTTACTCTAGACCAGGGGTGTCAAACTGCTGGCCTGCAGGCCAGATGCGTCACGTGGAAGCCGCACCCACCCCAGCTCTGGCAAGGGGAAAAAAGTTGTGATACGTCACGACACATCACATGAGGCAGTGAGTTTGACACCCCTGCTCTAGACTTATTTCCTGGTTCAAGGAGAACATTTTCAGAAAATCTGTAATCTATCATTACTATTTATGAAATATGCTTATGAAGTTGTCTGGGATCCAGTGGCCTTCTTGGAAATAAAGATGTTATAGACCAGGGGTGTCAAACTGCCAGCCTGCATCACACAGAAGCTGCGCCCATCCCAGCTCCAGCAAGGGGAAAAAAGTCTCAATATGTCGTGACATATCACGTGACGCGGCGAGTTTGACGCCCATATTATAGCTCATTGACTTACAGCAGGCCAGCTTCCATATATTTGTTGTAATTAAGACTAGGTGGAAGTATCCTGTTAGCCCCACCATGTAGACCAGGCCAGGAGAGATAAAACTACTTTTCTTGAGATTGGCTATAATTACAGAATCTTACAAGTCTCATTGTGCTGTACTTCCTCCCCACTATTGTACTCCTGTGAATTAGTGAAGTGTCTGCTTCAGCCACTTCCAAATATTTTTGTTGTTGTTATGGACTTAAGGTTTCACTACTGCTTTGATAACAGAGCTTGCTTATCTTTGTCAAAATCATATTCCTTACTCTCTACATACCGCATTAATCCTGATGGGACCATTTTGGTGACCTTATTATATGTTGCATAATACTACAGAATATATACAAGTATTCCTGCCCAGAGCAAGCATGCCACAAACAAAAGATGCATTTAGAAAATTGTCTGAATCCTTTCATTTTATAAAAGTAAGGGAGAAAACATAGGAATTGGACAATATTTTTCTTTAATATTTTATTGTGGGTTTTTAGGTAATATATAGTGAGATTCTAATGAAATTGTATATTAATCTATCAGCCGTTCCCTGTGCAAAATTCTTAAGCATCCTCCTTTTTTAAAAGTCTCACTGCTTTCCTCAGAAATGCATTCACTTTGTACTTTGTCACCATTATTTATATATTTTGCAGCTGTTAAGCCTTCTAAAAAATAAATGGCAACAGCAGGGAAAGCCTTGATATGGTGGTGACTGAGATCAATGTTAAGCTTGATTTATGGAAAAAGTTGAGCCAAATTCCAAGATGAAATGGAAGAAAGCATTAAATCTTTGACATTCAACACTCAGCTGAGTGTATGTCATTAGTTCTTTCTGAAGAAAGGCTCGATTCTGAAGCACTCAAATTTCTGTTGTAAATAATAGGAAGATGAAAATAAATAAAACATACAACTGGACTTATATTCTTTGACCAGTCTGTGACTGGATGTGTTCCTGAGTTGGCTCTGAGAGAGAAGAATTTAGTTGAGAAATTTGAGGGATTCAAAGCAGAACTATAAATTTTGATGGGTAACTTAATTGCATACACTTAGTGCAATGTTTCTCAACCTTGATTTAAAATGTGTGGACTTCAACTTTCCCCAGCCAGCAAAAAAGGACATTATGGAATGAAGGTGAGGAAACATTTCTCAATGAAATAGAATTCATGCCTAAAATAAGGAGCTCAGCAAGTTTGTGCAATCTCCTTCCCTTAAAAAAGTATTCACATGGGCACTGGCTTCAAACCTCATGTTCTCCCTAACAGTCTTGTGCTGCTTTGAAAATATTCTTGCTGCTTTTCATGGTGAAGAAAAAAAAAACGCAAGAGGCTGCTCTGCAGCTGCCAGAGCAGCCAGGAAAAATGGATGTAGGACAGTGGTTCTCAACCTTTTCAATGCCGCGACCTCCAACCGGTCGTAAGTCGAGTACTAAACCAGTCGTAAGTCGAGTACTAAACCGGTCGTAAGTCGAGGACTTTCCCTGCCCGGGAGCGCCGCACATGTGTGGTGCCGCCCCCTGCACCGGCCGAGGCATAGCTGGCAAGCGGCAGAGACGGAGCAGGCTGACCACTGGCTAGGCCACCAGCTGGCCCAGCCCAAGGGAGGTAAGGCACCCGCAGGAAAAGGGGAAAAAAATGGCGGACAGCCTTGCTTGGCGACCCCCGTGAAATGGTCGATCGACCCCAAATGGGGTTGCAACCCATAGGTTGAGAACCGCTGATGTAGGAAATAAAGTACTGTGGCTACAAGGAGAGGAGAATCTTGAGAAGCAGTGGGAATTCTCACCAATGGGAAGCTGGCCCTTGAGTAATGGGAGGGGGGAAATTTCCATCATGGGAAGCTGGCCTATCTGCAACTTGAGGCAACATTTTTTAGAACAACTGCTAGTTTGACTTGTACTGTAATGCCTTATGCAAACCCCACAGCAGCATAAGGCGAGGTAGTGAACTGATCAGAACAATCCATGCACACAGAAGCACCTCAAGATGCTTTAGCCTGAGAAGCCTTGAGTCTCCAGCTGATTGTCTCCAGTGCCTATCAGCCACAATTAGCATTGCTAGTCGTTGGGAATTATTTATCTTTTTTTCTTAGAATGAAGCGGCTAGGAAGAACTGATAGAATCATTTGACATGATAAAGCTCTATCTAGTGAGTTAGGGCCTGATGTAACAGGGTCTAATATTGACTTCTGCCAGTTCACTGTCCAGAAAATCTAGGTTCATCCAGAAAATCCAGTTTTGAGCATTACAAGTTTTAAAGGTGAGAAAACGTGATCTTATTTTCTGAGGATGCTAGGACAGTGAAAAATCTAACTAAATAATGCTTTCCCTTCTGGTTTGTCTCCCAGCCTCAGTAATTCTGGGTACTTGCCTACAGTCTTTGGAGCTTCTGGTGAATGCTAAGTCAGAGGACAGGAAAGGGTTATCTCCTGTCAAATTCTAAAAGAGCTTGCTTATTTGTATTACTGCAGACCTGAAGAGGAGGGGTGGAAGTCAACTTTTCACAGATGAGTCCACCAAGGAGTCATTCAGTATTTGAGCTGAGGCTTATAAGATTCACTAATTATTTTCCTGTAGAGAAATACTAGACTGCTTGAACAGATGTCTGAAGGCCCTTTGGGATGGGTGAGAGTTCAGAAGATGAAACCTAATCTGGACGAGGAAAGATTAGAGGTTACTGGGGATGTAAAGTAGCTAGCTGACAATTATATTTAGTGTTAGATGAGGCTGCTTTTCCAAACAGGTTGAAATGAGCACTTTGGGAACTCTAGCTAAGTGGGGAACTTAAGGTGCCTTCTAGGCCTGGGGATAATTTGTATGAGCTGAGGTACTATGCCAGTTGTGACACTTTCTGAAAGAAATGAATCTTAGCTTGACAGCTCCATGTATTAGTGACACTTAGAATCATAGAATCATAGGACTGGAAGGATTCTTGGAGGTCTTCTACTCCAAACCTCTGCCCATGGCAGGAGACCTTATATCATGCCATACAAATGGTTGTCCAATCCTTTCTTGAAAACCTCCAATGATGGTGCATGCACAACTCTGGGAGGCAAGCTCTTTAACTGGCTAATTGTTCTCACTGTCAGGAAGTTTCTCTTTAGTTGCATGTTGGATCTTTTTTTAGCGAGTTTCCACCCACTGCTTTTGGAGCTATCCTCTGGAACTTTGGAGACTAGGTTGACCTCCACCTGTCTGTGACAGCCCCTCATGTACTAGAAGACAGCTATCATGTCACCTCTAGTTCTTCTCTTGGTTAAACTAGACATACCGTTAACATTTCCCTTAATAGTTTCTCATATGATGTATCCTGTAGACCCCTTCTCATCTTAGTTGCTCTTGTCTGCATCCTTTCTAGGGTCTCAACATCATTGTTGTATCATGATGACCAGAATTGGATGGATTATTCCAAGTGTGGCCTCACTAGTGCATATCAAGCAGTATTTTCACTTCTCCTGATCTTGATGCTATCCCTCTGTTGATGCAGCCTAGAACTGCATTGGGTTTTTGGCAGCTACAGCACACTGCTGGCACATACTTAAGTACTGATCCACTAGGACACCTAAATCCTTCTCACAGTTACTGATATAGAATAGCCAGGTATTGTCTATTCTATACTTGTGCATTTGATATTTCCTGCTTAAATGCAGGACCTTTTCTCGCCGCTGAACTGCATCTTGTCAGATAAGACCCAATGTTCCAGTTTGTCAAGATCCTTCTGACAATTGCTATCTTCCAAAGTCTTAGCAATTCATCCCAGCTTGGTATCATCTGCAAATTTGATGAGCTCTCCCTCTATACCCTTATTCAGATCATTTATGATGTCGAAGAGCACTAAAACCAAACAGATCCTTAAGGTACCACACAGCATGCTTTCCTCCATGTAGATGTAGTTGCATTGAAGATTACATGGTGAGGGCAGTTGATCAGCCAACTGTGAGTTCATCTGATGGTAGTACTGTCTATCCCACCTTGTTCTATCCTACCAAGAAGTAGATTGTGATCTACTGTGTGAAATGCTTTACTGAGGTCTAAGTATGCTATATCTATAGCATTTCCCTTATCCACTAATTTAGTGACTTTATCAAAGAAGACAATAAGTTTGTCTGGCTTGATTTGTTTTGAATAAACCTATGCTGGCTTCTGGTAATGGCTTTGTTCAATTCTAGATGCTTACAAATCTGCTGCTTGATTATCTTTTCCAGGATTTTACCAGATATTGATGTCAAGATGATTGTCTGTCCTTTCCTGGATCTACTTTTCCCCCCTTTTTTGAAGATTGGAACCACATCAGCTTTTTTTCCAGTTCTCTGAGTAGTTCCTCTGTGCTCCAGGAACTGTGAAAAATTTTGCTCTGTGGTTCCAGGATTACATCTTCCAGCTTCTTCAGAATCCTGGGATGTAAACCATATGGTCCTGATGATTTGAACTCGTCTAGGTATTTTCTTATAATTTCTTGCATATTTTGATCTGCATTCCTGTTCAGTCTCCCACAGTGCTGCTTTTGGTAGGTTGGACTATTTTTTCCTTTGCATGAAGACAGATGTAAAAAAGGAATTAAGCAGTTCTACTTTCTCCCTGCTGCCCGTCACCTTCTTGCCATCTGTTTCTGGAACTGCCTTCGTATATTGAAAGCATGCAGGTTATGGCCATTCAGCTGTCCTGGGAGTTGAATGGTTAACAGTGCATTTGTCAATATGTTTCTGAGACCAGTTTTAGGTCTGAATATAACCATTAAAGCCTTAAATGGCTTGGCCTCAAATTACTTGAAAGCCTGCCTCCATGCATATCAACTCATCATACTCTCAGTACATCCACATAGGGGCAGGGCCTTGGGATTGGGCGGCATATAAATAAAATTAAATAAATAAATAAATAAAAGAGTGGTCCTGGCCTTTGCAATGAGTTTCCATTAGGGGCAGGGGTCCTCAATCTTGGCAGCTTTAAGACTTGCTGGCTGAAGAATTCTGGGAGTTGAAGTCCACAAGTATTAAAGTTGCCAAGGTTGAGGAGCCCTGCATTAGGGAGTCCTCAGGCCTTTTAACTGCATATATTCAAGATAAGTGCTGAAAATAATTTATTTTGCTGGCTTTCACTTTTGAGGCCTGGTGATTTAATCTGTAATCAGTGGTATTTGATTATGTTTGTGCAGTAAATGTATATTTTGTATGCCATCATGGAAGGGCTTTGCCCCATCACAATAGTGTTAATGTTTTTAAATAGTTCAACAGTAGCTGGGGGACTAAAGTTCTCTACTTCAGTTTAGACGCACACTTTTCTACATCTTCTCTTGGGGGCTTCTTTTGCCTGACAAATAACAAATATGTCTCACAAAACTGGCAACAGTGATTGACTAAACATCTTCAATTCATGATCCATCCATGCAAGTAAGCAGAACTAAGCTATAACCAAAGTATCTTTAATAGGTATGACTAAACATGTTAAAGTATGAGTATGATAATGAAGGGGTTTGTAAGTAGTTACATTTTATTATGCTAAGTGGCTGCCCATAAAGCACTAAGTAGTAAAGATTAAAAGATTCTGAGTTGTAGTTGTACTTTATAATCATTAGAGTGGTGCTGAACCCATACAGAATGTTTGCATTTATAAAGGAGCTTACTAAGGAAAACGTCTATGGAGATTTTCAATCATCCAGGTCATGGTTGTCCCAAAGGTGCTTTTTCAAGAGGCAACTGGACTTTCTTGTTTTTCTTTGAAGATGTTTCACTTCTCATCTAAGAAGCTTCTTCAGCCCCACCATCCAGTCAGAGATGAAGAAGCTTCTTGGAGGAGAAGCAAAACATCTTCAAAGAAAAACAAGGTAAGTCCGGTTGCCTTTTGAAAAAGCACTTTTGTGATTACTAAGGAAAATATTGCCTAGCCTTATCCTGGACAGTATGCAAAAACATGGTGTATTCCTCTGTACCACTTTCAGCCTGAAGATGCAACTTGAACACTGGTGCTGAGATGAATCAAATATTTGACATATCCCACTAAGGCTCCATCCTATGAAATTGTGGGTTTGTCACCGATACGCTCTATTTAGCTGTGTGAATTTGAGTGCTTACAGGTAGTTCTTAATTTACGACCATTTACTTTGCAACCTTCAAAGTCGCTGAAAAAAGTGACTTATGACCAGTCCTTCCATGACATCATAGGGCTCCATGAACACGTGTTCAAAATTCTGGTGCTTGGCAACTGGCATGTATTTACAACAGTAGCAGTATCACATGATCATCCTCCCTAAGCGCTGAATGGAAAGGAAGAGGTCATGTATGCTGCAGCAGGGCAGAACTAAAACATATAGAACAGTTTATGGCAGTGGTGGCAAACCTATGGCACGGGTGCCAGAGGTGGCACTCAGAGCCCTCTCTGGGCACTCACACTGTCTCTCCAGTCCTAGGCCTTCAGCTGGGTTTTATAAAACCTTTTCGCTTATCAATCTGTCAATTTCAACTTCTCGTGGGAAAAAAAATCTTGCAAAGTTGGAATTGATTGATTGAACTTTTTAGTCCCACAGTCTGCTGTTACCACCACAGCCATGCCCACCCTATGGGCCACACCCACCCTATGGGCCACACCCACCCAGCACCCAACAATGCATAAGTGGGCTTTGGGTTGCAGTTTGGGCACTCAGTCTCTAAAAGGTTCGCCATCACTGGTTTATGGGAAATGCTACAGCAGAATGATGTTACTATAGTGTTCTCATGTGCACTGGAATTTTTAATTTATGCATAACTGCTGCTATCGAGACCCAGCATATAGTATTTAAATTAGTTTGCACAATATTTGTCAGTATTAGATCTGTTTTATGATCACATAGCAACAATATTTGCTGAAAGCCTTAGCTGAAGTTCTGCACTTCCAAATCTTGTGGCTTATACGTCTCTGTGTTGTGATATCCATTGTCAATGTTTATACACTGGATAATGTACAAAGCATTAGTGTCCTTGTTCTTCAGCCTCCAATTACCCTGGCTGTTACTTTTGTATCACAAATTAATAAATATGATAAAGTCTAATGTGACCACTCACTAATTCTATGTCAGCTTAAAGCCCTGGTTTTTTTTTTCACTCTTGAAAGCAGTTTTTGCATACTTGTTGGTATGTGCATATTCTTGTAATGGGGGAGCTGCTTTTAATGAACAATACAGCAGTTCTCAGAGGCTGGTCAATGCAACAGAAATGAACAGTTGCAATTATGTGTGTCATTACTGATTTCTTACTAAGAAACCTCTAATCACTGAAAAGGTCCCTAGAACACAGTTCATGCCTGTATTATGTTAAGGATAAAACATAATCAAGTTATCTTTAGGGCTATCTGCAGAAAGATACTTTATCTTAAAAATGTGTGCAAGGAAGTTGCAGTGCAGTTCTTTTGTCACAGACTGCTGGACCTATCCTGTTAATTGGCCAGAAATTGAGCTTAGCTAGGCTCCTTAGGGAAATCTGAATGAAGCATGATCTCAGCAACAGATGTCTTATTATCCACAAACCACTCTCTTGGCATGATGTGCTAACCACCTGCCTCAAACAATTTTGATTTGCTTGTAGTGTAGAGATCCTCTAACTTTGTCAGATGGTTCCAAGGGAAATGAGGGCATTGCTTTTAAGACAATCAGTATTTATCACATTTTAGCAGTTTATTTTGTTTTCAGGTCTGTTGTCATGACAGCAAAGTACAGTTTTGTTTCTTATGATAATGTTTGTGTATCTTTTGTGAACTACCCCCACCTCTTGGTTCTGTGTTCTTATACCACTGATACTGAACCTGCATAGATTTAGTTCTTGTTACCTTTCAATTTTGTATTCCTTATCCTGATTCTTGTTCAGAAATAAAGTTTGTTTCTGCATATTTTTAAATCTTGTGAGTCATAAAACAATTGTTTATTGATGTTGTCATTAATAATTAAGACTTCTTCTCCCCAAATAAAGAATAGAGTGTTTGAATACATTGTTACAGCAGACTTCCAGGAATGGCCTGTTCGGAGACAATACGTATCTGTAATATTGGAACCATCAATTCTACAATGATTATTCTGTAACAACTGCAATGAGTTGTTTTTAAGCAGAAAAATGCTCTTAACAATATTCCAAGACAGAATTATTTCCAGTAAAGAGCTGGTATATATCCTGTTAGCTTTCTAGCATGCTGTAAATGGCAATACTTAAGCACTGAGAATGGCAGTTATACTCAGGATTACTACAGACCTTCATGAAGAGATACGGTTGATGCATTACTGTATCAACTGAAATATACTGAGAACTGAAATATACTGAAATATACTGACAATTGAGATTTGTCCGCTTATGACCCTTCCATTATTATATCCAAGAAATTTGTCTAGTTCTTCACACTATTTTCACAAAACCTTTCCCCCATCTTTTTTCAAGTGACCAACACTTATTTTAAAAAAATCTTTAAAAAGAAATTAGGTCTTAAACAAGTTAATGAAATTAAAACAAAAGCCTAAATATGATCTAAATTTTCCATATTCATTTAAAGTGACATGCTTCCTGTAACATCACAGTGTGGGAAGTCAGCCTCCCAGAGAAGGAAATATTAAAAGGGCAGAAAAATATATTTCCTCAGAGGATCTTAAAGAGGCAGGAAAGCATGCCCAGTTTTCTTAATAGCCCCAGGTCTCCCTTGCCCAAGCAGAAACCAGCTCTATAGAGATGCAGATGTAAATCCAGGGAGCTAGGAGATTTAGAAGACAAAGACCTAAATTCCACATACCCCATCCAAACTCTAAGAGTCATCAGCCCCAGTCCCAGGGAAGCAGGATATGGCCTTTGGTCATAATAGGATTAACCCATCACCATCAGAATACCAGAAAAGCACACTCAGACTCAGGTCAAAGCTCATGCCACAGGAACAGGAAGCAACTCCAAACAAAAGGCTCCAGAGGGTATAAAAACCCATTCCCCACATGTGCTCAGCCCTTTTTTCCTCTTTCCAGCCAGAACCATCTTTCTGTCTGGCTCTCCTTTTCAATAAACTGCAACCTTCCTCCTAAAGTAGTCGCCATGTTGTTTATCCCCGGCTTGGACTGAACTAAGATGAAGACTTTTCTTTCAACAACAGGCTCCTGCTCATTATAATGTTTTATGTCTTGTGTACAAACTAGTAACATGCATGTAATGCTGCTTTAGAACAGTAGTAGATCTCATCTGTAGTGTATGAGCTAAACTAAATGTTACTTAAGAAGAGATTAGAGACTACTTTCAGAAAACCTCAATAGGCGAGAAATTTTGCTGGTAGTTAGGCTAAAAAAGCAATCTGAAAAGTCTCTGAACTAATTAAAATTTAATTTTTTTTTCAAATATATAATCCATCAAGTGAAACCAATTATGTAATCTATCTGTTTACCATACAGTGAGTATGCAAAATAAAATAAACACAGCATTTGTTAGTGGAAATAGAAATACTGGTGAGAAATACCTTGAGGGGGAAAATAAAACCTAATGAACTGTCTTGAGAAGAGGCAAAGTGGTATATATACATATGAATGTGCCTCTAAATGCTACTTTAAACTCTAAAGTGGGTCCTTATCACACAAAGACAAACAGTTGCTTCAACTCAAGCTTTCAATGACAAGGTGGACAGTTCAAGTAATTTTCTTGGCAACAAAGAAAGAGATTTGCCTAGGCCTGTCAGCAGGGGAGCGTCAAGGGAAGACAAATTAATAAAAGCTTTTTTGTGACACAAACTCCTCCCCCTTTTATATTTATGCTGTGATATGTGCGTCTACAAAAGGGGCAGGGGTTACAGTGTATTGCTGCTTTTATCATGTTGATGAAAGCCGCCACTCCTCCAGATCTCACTTATTTAGATCCTTAAGAACACAGTCCTGTAGGCATATACTCAGAAGTTATCTGGAGTACAACCGGGTTTATTCACAAGTAATAAATACAGGTAATCCCCGAGTTATGAACGTTCCCTTAGCGAACGTTCAAAGTTACACAATATGCGCCCCCTAGTGTTTACGAACAGATCCCAAAATTACAAATGTTGCAGCACCACGGCAGTCATTGATCCTTATGAATGACTGCAGAGGTACTACAACATTCACTCTGCCTATTCCCTCCCCCCCACCGGATCTCAATAGGCACTAGGCCTGTGGATACTCACCTTGCAAAGATCTAGACAGTCTTCATTTTTTGATCTATTTCACTGCTTCAGGCCTTTGGTGTGTTCACTAAGAAAAGTTCCTTGTCTCTTACGATAATCTGCATTTTGATGCAGTCTTGAAATTGCATGTGGCTCATAAGCTATTTATTTCTTCTCTAAGATGAACATTTATATACCTATATACTTATCAAGGGCTTGTAAAGAACATCAGGATCCCCCAATTATATAACTAAGTGAAAAACATGGTACCTGAAGTAGTTGTGTAATAAGGTTCAATCTTACCTCCTGTAGCTTGAGACTACATGCAAATAATTACAGATCTGGAATTCTAACCTAAAATTTTTCAGATCAACCAGCAGAAGAGCACAAAAATCAACAAAATGCAGCTAAGAATCTTAGTAAGAAATATAATGAATACTTTTTCCAACTGAAAAACTTAATAAGACTCTTATAATTACTAGAAATGTATCTGCAGAGCCTAATTTTCTTTCTTTCTGTTCCTGTAAGAGAAAGAATCTGAAAATTAGGCATTATTATATTGTAGTGAGCTCCTGAGCAAGGGCCAGTGTTCATCTTTTCTAACATCTTTGTCTAGCAACACATTCTACGCGTAACCTGCAACATTCACCAGAGGGCGTTACCGAAGCTTCACACAAAAGTGCTTCGGTTCACTCTTTTTCCAGACTCAACCGACTAAATTTACAACTTTTCTGAAATTAGAAAAAATGATTTATTTTTCTTTCAAAGAAAATATTTAAAATACTGAAAGCTCCCAAGGCATTTTGTCCAATACAATGTTGCTCACAGCCTGCACATAGCTGTAATAAATTTTCTATATATTGAGAATGAGAGTTATTTACAGACCAGCTTTACTCTGAATCACATTTTTTCTAACAATCTGTTAACATGCTTTTTAAAAACTGAGCAGCAACTGTCAGGCCCACTTCTAGTTCCCAACAACATGACTTCCATTTAAAAAAAAAAAAAAAAGCACCTATCATTTTCTATCAGTTTTGGCAGTCCTTATTTGCAACTCTAGTTGTCACCAGAGACAGCAAAAAACGTCCCAAAGTAGTGAATCAATGTATAAAAAGCCTCTTGAAGAACCTGACAATAAAACGCAATGTTCTCAGAGCAGAAAATGAAATTAATTTTTAATCTTAAGAGTTTTCAAGAAGCTTTGTTGACATGGAAACAAATTAAATTGCAAGGAAAATCTTTATGGGAAAATTTCTGTGTAGCCAGGGGACGCCAGCTGAATTAATTCCATTACCAAACAGACAAGAGGGACACGCCAGTCAACAAGCATTTACCTGTGGAAACAGGATCATCAGAAGCAATAGCTCACCAGCTCTCAAAAAGTTAAAATCACTCCACCAACCATCACTCTGGTTTGAGTGCAATAATAAACAGTATAGAGATCTCTTGCTACCTGCAGCACAAAGCAAGTATTTGTGTGTTTGTGTGTGTAGCCCACATGAAGACTCCGTTCAGATTTTTGCTGTGCTCCGCGACACGCCCTGCTAACTGATGGTGTGTGAGCATACTTTCAAACCAGAGAACAAATTTAAGATGGTGCAGTAGCCAGACTATAGGCAGACATAAAATGGCAGTGAAGCTTAGACTAAGATTACAGAATTCTAGAGTAAACCAAATCATTATTTCCTCTTGAAAAAAGGGAGAAAAGAACAAGGACATCTCAAAAATAGGAAAGGGGGGAGGGTGGGGAAGATCCTTTTTTTTCTTTTCGTTCGCTGATGCAAACTTCAGTGGCATGATTTTCTCATTCAGGCCAACTCTAAGAGAGTCCTGAAGATCTGGCACATGATTAGAAGTCAGAAATCTCTAGCCCAAAACTGGCCAGCAGACAAAGATGATCAGATGAACAGAAAGGATTTGGCAAGCCATTTGCTGACCAAAGGATGTCTTCAGAGAGAAGGGAGAGGCGGCCAAGCAGCTTTAGGGCTCCATCTTGGAACATCTTGCGATCTAAATGCAAAACAGAATGAAAACTATGAACAGAGGTCCGTAAAGTAAAGTTGTAATCGAGCTATCAGACGATAAAAGCAATGCAGATAGAGATACAAACAACAGCCACAGCAATGTAAGAAATATTTACAATAGATACATTTCTAAGTCCAGATATTCACCAGGCCCCTTGATATTCTTTTCTATGTTTTTGTTTAAATTTGACATGATCAGGTGTCGGTGGCTGTTCTCAAATGTCCATATAACTCATTTTAAGCATTCAGAAAAATGTGGGGAGTGAAACAAATGAGGGAAGTTACACAATAAGAATCTGTTTCCAGTCATCCTATATATGTATGTCAATTTCTTGGCTTCCATGCTGCTAAATTTAAACATTGTTTTCAATTCACTCATCAAGTTAGACCTCAAATGAATGGAAGAATGAACAACTCATTGCTCAGAAATAATCATCAACATTTCTTCCCAGAATAAATTAAGGAAAGGCAGGGATTAGTATTTGACATGGAACAAATATCCATTTCTGTAGGAAAATCAGTTTCTGTTCACAAAACTGAACAATTTCTCTTTCCTTGTGAAGTTCTCTCACTTCACCTCACAGCATTTGCACCGGTAAATTCTTCCTGTCTTAAACAGACTTTATGGATTTGGGAAAAGAGAACACAAGAGAGAAGGAGAACAAGAGAAAGCTCCAATGCAGAAATAGATATTCATATAATTTTGAACACACCCCATACACTTCTGACAATCATTAAAGAAAAGCCACAAGAAGCAGAAAAGATACATAATCGGAACCATTGTTTTAAAGCTGAACTTACAGAACTTGTCGCTATATAAACCGATACACTTAATGGTCCACTGTAGAAATCTGACAAATCAACAAAGATTATCAGAAAATACATATGCTTGCTGGAAGAAAGATGCCTACTCACATTCTTCCTGATCATTCTTGATTGGCATTGCTGAGTAAAATATATAATCCACAGTGGCTCCCACTCCCATTGGCATGGTTGTAATCTCTTGGCAACCTCTCTCAGGCAGGAAGTGGTTGTAAGCTGAGGTTAGGTTGAGGCTATGGTGAATACTGCCTGGATACCTATGACCAGGAAAGAAATTCCACCCCCAAAACAAAAGAGGGAGGGGCAGATGCCATTTAACAACAGGACTAGAAGCAAGAAAAGCAAACTAAGCTAGCATTCATTCAGAAATTTATTCAAAAGTTGTATGCCAAGAACTGATGATTATTTGGGACACAGCTTATGAAAAAGAGGAGGTCTATCTTTTCTCTCTTTCTGCACTCCCAACAAAATCATTTGAAGCTTTGTGAGACAGGCAACATTCCCCATTTCCAGTAGCTTCTTTAACTGTTGCTGAAGGCTTATGTTGTTTTCAGGCTAATTACAGTCAAAGAAACCATGCAAAGGACAAATATAATATATTGCAGCATTTCCATCCACAAATGCAAAGTTGCAGACTGCTCCAGGAGAGCATACTGAGAAATGACTCTAATATGGCATTATCAACCAAAGCAACTCTTCGCCCCAGGATTAGATTGTGATGGAAAGTGCTCTGAAAATGAAGGGCACATTTCTTTAGGATTAGCCATAATGCCAAATGTTGCCAACTGTTCAAAAATAACAAATGTCAAAAGAAAATCTGAGAATATTTATAACAATCCTCAGAGTAAAAAAATTATCTGGAACCTTATTGATACCACATACAAAAGCAACAAAAAGCAGTACCTCGTTCTAGAAAATCTCATTATATGACTTTCAACAGTTCGTTTAGTGACTGAAGTTACAACAGCACTGAAAAAAATTACTTATGACCATTTTTCACCATTTTAATGACCGCTGCAGCATCCCCATGGTCCCATGATTTCCATTTGGTGCTTGACCGCTGACTCACATTTATGACAGTTGCAGTGTCTCGGGGTCACATGATCACCTTTGGTCACCTTCTGACAAGCAAAGTCAGTGGGGAAGCCAGATTCATTTAACAACCGTGTCACTAATTTAATAACTGCAGTGATTCATTTAACAAAGGTGGCAAAAGTAGTAAAATGGGACAAAACTCCCTTAACAAATTTCTCACTTAGCAACATAAATTCTGGGCTCAATTGTGGTCATATGTTGAGGACTACCTGTGGTTTCAATATACACACCCTATTCTGAGTCACGTAATCAAGAGATTCTTCACTTTCTTAGCCTTCCTCTGGTTATATAATCACAGACACTTGACGAAACGTCTGCCTTAATCTCACTTGGACAAGCAGTCTTTCATTTTTATTGCAGCCTTCCCCAATCTGATAGTCCCAGGTGTGCTTGAATCTCAAAATCCCAACCCAGCATACAGATTACCTTGAACAAACCAGTTCTGGATCAGAGTTGTTCTCTACAGTGAGGTCTTTAGGCCAATATGCAGGACGGTCTGCAATGCACAAAACAAAAGCAAAACACTTGATCAAACACACCACCCGGTTTGCAATATTTGACTCCAACAGACATAACAAAACCAGCTGCCCCCAACATCCTATAGCAAAATACACCAAAGGCCAAGACTCAAGAGTTTAGTTTCAATATTCTATGCAAACTACCATCTTTTTACACAACAGCCTGGAATAACTTCCACAGCTTTCTGAATAAATTCAAGGACTAACACATGTCAAGTTAAAAATGGGTTTGCCTATTTTGACTCTGTCATGGCTGCATAACATTTGTGCAGACATGAAACAGAAAACAAAAATTAAGGCCCAAGAAAGAAAGAACACTAGCATTTTTTAAATTAAGATATGATTCAGAACAAACAGTGTTCTGAAGCCAAACAGTGATGGCTTCAGGAATTCTTCCCAACTATTAGGTGCAGCCATGGAAGGTGCCTACATTTTCTTCTGTGTAGTGAAGTAGCATGTTGCATCTGTGAGAGGTGCATGTGTGCACACTTTCACTTTGCCCCCAGGTATTAATCAAGTTGCATGCATACATGTTGCCTGCATGTTTGTGTCTGTAAAGATCTAATCAGGGGAGGTGCCTATTCATCCTGTCTGCCCTCTTCTTACGTTGTGTCTATCGGCACTGAGACACACAGGGCAGGCAGCACGCTAAGTCGTGTGATCAAGAATGCTTAAGAATAGAAGAGTCAGCAGCATTCCAACCCAATGCCAAACTCTTTTTGCCACGTGGATGCAATGGGAAATTTTTTTTTTCTCCCCATAGTCCCTGGCCAGATCCAGCACATTTATAACCTCTGACAGTTTCTCCATTCAAATCCTGCGGTGTTCAGTTTTGATCGTGCGGTGTTCAGTTTTCAGAAAGTTATATCATTGGTGAGCAGCATTCTGATTCCTTTACACACAGTAATTTCTTTCCAGCTTCAACTTCATAGGGCATAACCACAGATTTAATCATAAAACATGAAAGGTCAGTTTATTACCTCAATGAATTATTCCAAAGCTCCCCACAAACTGCAGAACTCATTGATGCTCTTCTGATTGCTATGAAAATCAAGCAAGACCATGCTGGATATTCTTCCCTACCAGGGGTCTCCCAATATGGATTCTCATACTATTAATACCATCAAGTATAGGCAATAATGCCCAGGAATTATGGAGTATAAAATCCAATACTTCCAGCACCATGTTGGGAAAGGCTGCTTTAACCCCACTTACAAACCCTTCTGTAGCATCTTGTTAAACATTAAACATTTTCTGCAGTGAGGTATATTATTGCTGACAGAGGTAAAATCAGGGAAGAATCTTGGATACCTGGCACAGCATCTGTCACACCTTCCAACAGGATCAAGTCTGCAGGTCGCTCACAGGCAACATCACAGTAACGGAACTGAAGCAGGAAGTCACGACTGTATTTAAGTCTGTCTGCAGACGAAAAGCAGACCCAAAAGAAAAAAATTAGAATGGTTAGTGTGTGCAAACTTGTTATTTGTAATCTAATTTCCAGCTAATAGTTGTTAAAATGAAGCTGCGTGTCTCCATGCATCCATGCAGATACAATTTCAAATACTAAGAACTCATAAACAAAAAAACCTGAACCATTGTACAACCCTGGAAAATCATTAATTGTTCGTTCCCACATAACCACCGATCCTGTTTACTCAATGAATTTACAACTGTCATTGAATAGTGCACATGTAGGTAAATAATTCTTTAAACAAAACAAGGAACCCCAGAGACTGAAAAGCCTGTCATTCTGAGGACTCACACTGAAAAGAAGGTGTCCCTTTCTGAACATACATTACTGAAAAGCACAAGACCTACGATTTCAATTTTGCCATGAGATTCACCTGACTTCTTGCTTTGACAAAGAGTGATATATTGGCAGTCATCTGTTATACCCAGGCAGCCAGGCCACAGAGGAAACAGCAATTTCCGTTGGTGTGGGTTCTGACAGAATTCCTCCTGTCCAGACACCTTTGTAGGCAGAAGAAGAACAAGAAAGAACAGAACACAAAATACCCACCAAGTGTTTTGAGAAAAATAATCCAAAGTTCTAAAAATCTAGAATAACCACATGAAATTCAGAAAGCCGGAACCCTAATTTAAAATAGTGTTTGTCAACCATAACTGTGTGGATTTCAATTTCCAGGCTAAGTGGGGAATTCTGGGGGCTGAAATCCATACATCTTAAAGTTGCCCAGGTTGAGATACACTGATCTAGAATATAAATGCAAGAATACTAGGGAAGCATTTGCATTAACAAGCAAATTAGTATCTACTACAGCAGGGGTTCTCAACCTTGGCAACTTTAAGACTTGTGGACTTCAACTCCCAGAATTCTGGGAGTTGAAGTCCACAAGTCTTAAAGTTGCCAAGGTTGAGAACCCCTGTACTACAGAGAAAGAACTCCTCACCCTACCCCAAACTCTAGAGTTTTCCTAAATAAAGACTTTGGAAATCAAGCTGAGCAAGACATTCCAAGAGTTCAAATCTTCCTGTTTTCTGCTAATGTAGTAGTGTAGCAGGATTTCAGAAGTATATTTATGTTTTATTTTAATTGCTTATAATTTTGTAAAAGGCAACCTTTCAGCCATGAGGAACACATGGCCATAAGTTCTCTCCAGCAACAGATTTCTCTTTTTTACCCTGCAGAGAGGAACTGCACTTCTATCACACTTCCCAGCAGTGACTTTGTAGGCATAAGAGGACTGGGAAGCAGGGGAGGGAGGCTGCATAGGAAGTCAATTTCTGCCACAACAGCATCCCAATATTTAAATATCTGGCTGGCTATTAGTTGAAAATAGCACTTTCTGCCACAACATTATTACAAATGGCCTCTACAGTAACCAGGTCAGTTTAAATAAATGAACTAAGCCTGAAAAAATGCTGTGTTGGAGAGAAAAGCAAACAAGATACTTAGGAGGTGCTAGAAACCATAAAACTATTTAAGAGCTAAACCAAGACTACCTGATATCTTTCTTTTGCTTACCTTCCAGGCTGGCATTCCATGATAGTACAACTGGCCATTCCGGATGAACTTATATAGCGGTGAGTCAGGCACAGAGTTCATGTCCCCACATAAGATGATGGGGCAGTAACTGCCATCAGCCAGTTTTGCGGTTTTGTCAATCTCTGCCAAGAGCAGAGACATCTGGGCCAGTTTGATGTCTCCCCGACGGGGACTATATAATATATGAGTGTTTGCCACGCACAAAGGGCTGATTGCCTTCTCTCCCAGGTTTTCTGTTAATAAGGGCTGTAGTAGTAACACCAGGCCCACATTGTCCCTGCTGAGGATATCCAAACCAGGCCGGAAGTATTCAACAGGGCTAGCACTGATCAGTTGGAATTTATTCTGCTTGTAACAGATTGCACAACCATCTGTCTTTCTTCCTGTCCGCCGCTTGTAGATACAGGTAAAGCCTAGCCAAATGACAAAAGCTTCTTGTTACATATGCCTCTTATGTCTAGTTTGATCTTTGAGATGAAGAAGGCACCGCTCATCTTGGCTCAACTCAATTCAGAAGGTAATGCATGGGAAAGGAGAAGCAAAACAAAGCTCAGTACACCCTCCCTTCCAAAACCTGATTATGCACTGGAGCTTCAAAGGCATCCATGAAGCTCCAACTTCCCCCAAACCATGTTGACTATCAAAAGTAAAGCCAATCATCCCAAAACATTGATGGCTGTTAAACACCGAGTAAGAGGCATTTTTACTGATCCTGGTTGGAGCATCAAGAAGCATATTCTTGAGCTAAGCTCACTATCAGAAGGAAGTTTTACCCATCATTATCAGCGTTGGCTCCAACTGCTCCCAATAATGATTCTCTTGAACTTCTTGGAGACAGAGAATCTAGAAGAAAATATCTATAATAAGTTATGTCATAGCTTTCTAAGGCAGAACAAATAAATTATTTTACACTACCTACATTTCACTTCTCCCAAATTTATTCTCCTCCCTAATTACATTTGCCATAAAAGGAAAAATACAGATAGTCCTTGGTTAACTATAAGAATTGGACTGGAGTTGCCGGAAAGCGATGAGGTTGTAAGGCCACTTGACTACACCATTTAGTAGTGGAAATCCTAGCATTTCTGGTTGCTTTTGTTAAGCGAATCCCACACTGACTTTAAGTAAAGACATCATGGGATCACCATTTGCAACTTACTATTAGCTTCCCCGTTGACTCTGTATGTGAGAAGCCAGCAAAGAGGTCACAAATGGCAATCACACAATAGCAGGGATGGCTAGAACTTCAAGATGGTACCAGTCATAAGTACCACTTGTTCAGCACTATCATAAATTTGAATGGTAACTAAACAAGTGGTTGTTAAAGGAGGGCCACCTACGTAGCAGATTTTGTGATTGTACGGAATTGTATATTGTCCCTAATTACCTTAAAAATACGAATTCCAGGTATGTTCATATTAACAGTAGAAAGACAACAACCTCCAGGATAAATGTAAAAAACAACTGTTTATTAGCTAAGCTTTCAATGGTCCCCTGCCGACGTCATCTGAGTAAAAAACCAGAGATTTGAAAGTATATTTAAGTGAAAACAGAAAGTGAAAAGTGTTAAAGAAGCATGAGATTCAACAGCCATGATCACAGTTATAAATATGTAATGGTAGGTGGGAAAGAACTTGGGAGGTGTGGTGAAGAGATGCTAGCTAAGGAGCAGTCAGATAATACACAGCCCAGCCCAGAGGTGCATAGTGGATGGAGCAAGAGGGACCCTCCCTAACTTATTGAACTGTAAAGATGACAGTGGGAGAATTTTACTTTCAGACTTTCATGATTCTGCTATTGTAGCTTTAAAATATAGTAGAATTAGTTTATCAAATTGTGTTTTCTATGTACTGGTAAGACTGACAGAATGATATTAGCTAAAAGGCTAAATAGTTCTCTCCCCCTCAAAAATTGACTCCTAATTATTCAGAAAAGATAGGCTTAAAGACAGATGACCCACAGACTTTGAGTGAGGAATGTTCTGAAGCTTTATTATAATGCAAGGCATAATGGGCCTTGCATTTCCTTTGCTTCCTCTTAGTACCAATGTAAATGCAAGTAGTCCTCACATCCCGACACTCATTCTTTGACTATTCGAAGTTGAGGCAACACTGAACAGGTGGTTCTCCAAGTTCCAGTCATGATAGTGTCCCTGTGGTCACGTCATCACAATTTGGGCATTTGGCAAACAGCTTACACTTATGATAGTTGCAGTGTCTTGTGATCATGCCATTTGTGACCATCTCTGCCAGCTTCCCACAAGTAAAGTCAATGGGGAAAACTGCAAGGAATGTTGCAAGTCATTCTAGTAGGTTCTACCAGCATTCCTACGCTTGCACTGTGCTGCATCCTCCATCCACTGGCCTTCCTCCATTTGTGTCCTGCTGCACCATCCCAGCCTTCCTGAACATACTACTTGCCACACCATCCATCCCCTGGCCATCTTGCCTCACACTGGACTACACCATCCATCTCCTCCAGCCTTCTTGCACTTGTGCATAGCCTGCACCGCGTGTCCTATGGCCTACCCGATCTCCCTGTGGTACCTATGCACTCCTTACCTAGGAGTCCTGTACCTCCTGCTTAATGACCTGTGTGTCTTGGAATTACAACAGCAACTGGCATTGCTGGGATTGTTATTGCTAAGTAATGATTCATGTGACATCATGCTTTATGATCGCATCACTGTGACAGCAGTCCTGATTCCAATTGCTGTTGTAATCTGAGGACTAACTACTTGTATACTCAAATACAACAAAGCCGCCAAGTTATACTCACATCAGGATCCCAGTGCTGGATCTCCTGTAAGAGATTTGCAAGACGATAGCTCCAGTTTAGGGTATCTGGATGGCAATGCATGTAAAGATGAGGGCACTGCTCAATCAGGTCCTGGGCCAGAATGTTGTAAGACATTACTCTGAATTCAAACAGAGACCCACTCTCTGGGTTCAGTTCTGGGTTGTAGGCAGAGAGATCTTCCCAGTCTCTCCACAAAATCTCTGTACAAAAGTAAAAAGTGCAAGACACTGTTTGGATCTATGCTGGAAATGTCTGTTTGTGGCTGACACCCTGTTGTCCTCGAGAGCAAAAAGCAATTGGAGGGAGGATTAACTTTAACTAGAATCTGAGCCTGTGCTTCACAGTAAATTACTAAGTCATAAAGGCTGGTTTAATACAAATGCATTCTTTGACTTTTCATCCTGAGCAACTCATGTACCTCCGATTTGGTTTGAGTTAGAATATCACCTGAATGAATGATAAGGACTGTGCTGCAACCCTCCTGCTTGATCCAGGACAAGGACTACAATTTTGTTGGTCATCCAGAGTTGTTGTTAAGAAGGGGCAGAACATTGATAAAATCCATCCATAAATAAATAAAATTACAGCTAAGACTTTCATTGAATTCATTTATGGCTATATTCTTTGGTTTATTCTAACCATAATTAGTCTGCATACTGCATTTGTATGATATATTTGAAAAGCTACACATGATGCCTTAGCTCATATCCTGTGACCCACAGAAAACTAGAGGGGAGAAGTATAAACTTCCATTTTTCAAGACAACAGTGTCAGTCTCTTATAATTATTTCATTTAAAAAGCTTTTTTTAAAAAAAAATTTTAAAGTTAAATGCACTATACAGTATTCTGATGTAACACCACCTATAATTTGACCTAAAGAGCAAAATTAGATGTAACATTAAGGCTACCTCTGTATTTAACCTAAATAAATTTTGCTGTACAACTGAGTAATTCTGATTCTTCCAGAGAATGAGAGAGTTTTCCTTTAGTAACACCACAGCACTCTGCAAACAAATGTGTTATACTTCACAAACATTTTTAGCGTGACAGACTACCAGCTTTTCTTCCAAAATTAAAAATATTCAGAAGTAAGCATTTGAGCAATATATTCAGAAATACCAAACTAGCCTCTGGATACTTCTCTGAACTGGATTCTACCATGGTGATTGTATTCCTCAAAAATGTTATTTTTGCCATTCCAGTCTGAAAGCAAGTATTTGAAAAGTTCCTGTCTATAGATTGTAACTGGGTATTCTTTTTGAACATAAGTAATGCAGTGGATTAAATTAGTATGTATTATTTGTACGTTTTTACTAGTTATTATACATATTTTTGTCCTTATTACTGCTCACAGTGTGTAATATCTCTAACAGTCAAAGGAATTTAGAAGATTCAGCAGATACCTTGAAGGAATTCAAAGAAAGGTAAGTGAGGTATTTCCACAATATCTAACATAACTAATATTCATACATCAAGTCACATTGTAATAGTAACTCTGCTCTTATCCAGTAAAGTCAAAGTCACCCAATGAAATGCATTAGTACTCACCATGATAAGGTATCTCTAGGGGAAGTGGCTGAAATTGACCTGCATCTGCAAAAGGCCACATTACTGCCTCAGCTGATATCACATCATTCTCCTGGGCAGGACTCCAGGCTAGCACAGCAGGATCTTCAATCCATACTTCGGTGGACAAAGAAGCATCCACATCTGGAAGATCACCCTCTGTCCGTACTGCTGCCCATGGAGCATTGACTTCCACATCCTCTTTTTCCTGTGTTAGTGAGCTTGCCAAGGTAGGTTCTACAAATTCCTGTAGCCCAGAAGATTCCTCAGTGGGGACCCCTTGCAGCAGCAGCAGCTGCTGTTCCTCTTCCTTCTCTTGGTCATTAGACTGTGGTGAGACAATCAAGTTGCTTAAGCTTGTCATCAGTAGCTCTGGGCCTTCTTGCCACTCCACAGCCGAAATGGCCGATACTTCGTGCAGTTCTGAAGCCCTCTCATTAGTGCAACCTCCCCCAGCCCCCTTCTCCAGCCACTGCTGCAGCAGGGCTTGCTTCTCCTCCAAGCTCGGCTTCCCACCAATTGGACCAGAAAGGCCGTCTATAGATGTGCTCTTTGGCAGAAGCGCGTTCTTTCGACAGTTAAAGAAAGCATCTGTCAAAAATATGGACATATGTTCACTTTAGAAACAACTCGCGTCAGGGTAGTAAAATTAACTGCAATAATGCCTTTAACAATTCACAAACAGCAACACATTCTGGCACAGGACAAATCACTGTTTTCTAAATCAGGGATTTCCAACCTCTCTGGGAGAGTGAGGAAGATTCAAATTGTGGGTACATTCACAAAGTGGTTGATTGGTGGCAAGGGCCAAAGACCCATTACAGGAAGGCAAGCAAAGCCCTGGATTGCACTCATTCATCATTTCATTTCATACATGATATTTATTATTAGTTTCTAAAAGAAGTATCTGGGATCTATATGGAGTCCAGAGGCATTTTACAAAAGATAGGTTATGTTTGAGAGTAGTGTTATCCTTCTCATCCAGGTTTTTTAAAAAAAAAAAAAAAAAAAAAACAGAATTCACAAAAAAATGAAGATTGAGTAGGACATGAATTCTGAAAAGCACAAAGAAATGTGTTGGTGAGTATGTTGTTGCTTTTGGAATCAAAATAGGGAGCCAGGATCTATAACAATTGTGCATGATGTAAGTTTCACATAGGACTTTGAATATTTGGGTTTAGCAATATCAACATTTTATGATTCAGCTGAATTTGAAATCAGTCAGTAAACAAGAAGTGCTTACTGACAAGCCTAACTTTTCTATTCTTGATTCAAATAAAAGCAAATTAACTGACATTAATTTCAAAAATTAGTTGACCAGCTGAATAAGCACTGTAGAAACAAAGACCCAAACTTAAGTAAAACTAAGGTTTTACTTTGTAAACACGATTAGAAGAAATGAGACAGAATAAAGTTATACACAGAGTTTTAAGCATGTTATTTAGGACTGAGGGTCTGAAATTTGATATAGTGCAGTCTCAAAACCATCCTGATTATTAGAAAGTAAGTAACTTTAAAATCAATGGGCCATTTCTACATCTCACAACAGGGCAATGAGGCCACAAAAAGAAATTGAAATGTGGCACATGCAGTCCAAGGCATGTTGATAATCAAAATCGCAGATTTGATAGGAAAAAACCCTAACTGAATGAATACTTGTGAAATTAAAAACGTTGGCAACGCCTGCTCTTACATCCTCTCCCTTCCAATTGAACAGCAGGGAAAATAAAACTGATCTACCTCATAAGGTTGCAAGAAAATAATGCAAGTAAATTCTCGTGTAAAAGTCAATCATTAGCAAAACAAGCAAAGTTGTTTCCGGTCCAACGATCCAACCTGCCCAAGTGCCGTATTTATTTTTCACACACACTCCTAGCCTCCTCTTGTTCCAACCATTTGCCTTTTCTTACAGATTTTAAAACACAGTATAATTTCCAGGACCCATTTCAGTGTTGATCTCAGTTACAAGCAATCTCACGGCCACCTCTGTCCCGCTGTTTTGATCCTCCGAGGGGAGAAACTTCACCAGCACGCCGGAAGGCGGGACGGGGAGGGGGCGGCAAGGGCCAATGAAACCCCGGCTCCCAGCGCTGGGCGGAGACGGGCAGCGCAAGTGGGATACTCCTCCCGGGCGTCCTTTTCGCCGTTGGGCCAGTTGCCCGGCGAAGGCCGGGACCTGGCACACGAGCGAGAAGCCTCGGCGAGGCGGCGGCAGCCCAGCAGCCATGCCCTTTGCCTGATTGGACGCCCTGTCCCATCCCGCCCTGAGAGAGGAGCGACGGTCAGCCTGCTTCGCCCGAGTGGTGGTGTGGGGACGAGTCCGAAGGGGGGAGGCGGTTACCTTGGAAAGCCTGCAGGAGCCGCGACAGGGGCAGCAGGACGTAACAGAGGATCGTCCCGATCATCCCGCCAGCCCGCTCCTCCTTCCCCTCCCTCCCGGCCGCTAGCCAGCCACGCGGAAGGCTGGCTCCGCCTCGCCCAAACTCCCGGAGGTCGACGAGGGTGCTGCGGCAGGGCGGCTCTGCGCTTTCTCTCCGGGCTTAGGGGCTGGTGGGACCCAGGCCTTTCCCCCGAGCCAAGTGGAGTGGAAGTTTGCGCAGCCCCGCCCGCCTGCCTGCCTCCTTCCCCTCGATTCCACCGACTTGCAACGAGAAGCACGCAGGAAAGCCAAACCCCAAACCGCACCCCTTTCTAAGCGGGCCTTGTTACTCCCAGATTCGGCCCCTGCTGGGTAACCGCAGTCCCGCGGGCTGGAGTTGTCAGTTTAGCAGAAGAGCGAAGAGATCCGGATTTAAAGGGAGCTGCGGGGCTACCCGACCTCGCAGGACTGTCCCGCGGGCGATAAACAGCGGAGGGGGGGGGGATGTCAACTCCGTATGCCGCCCCTCCCCCTCCTTGAGTTGATTGAAGGGAAAACGAGATGGGTAGACTTCCCAAAGTTTGAAGAGGGTGATAGCGAACCATCTGCTTAACTATATAGGGTGACAGAATCAAGGGACCAATTCAACTTGCAATTTATACTTATTAAAAAAGGGTGTGTAAATCGGCAATTGGTACATTTGTTACATATTAGCAGAAAAAACCGCGGTGAGGGATAATCCCACTCTTAAGCACGGGTGCGGAAGACTTCGCTTCTTTGTTTGGCTGTCCAAATAGCTGTGTAGCAGTGCAAATTGGGGATTACCCATTATTTCATCATCTCAATATATTGATAGCAGTTTAAGTCAATATCTGAGAAGATTTCTTAAACTCTGAACTTCATGGACTCCCTGAACACTGAATTTCATTATTTTAAAATAAAGATGTTTTTATTTGCTTACTAGTTGCTAGTAATGTATATTGGTGTCACCTATTTAATTTTTTGTCTTCTGCCACCAATCAGAATAACTGTCAGTTTAAGGTATTAGTGCTAACAAAAAAGTACTATCTAGTCTTAACCTTTTAAAACCTAACATTTATGTTGGTCCAGTTCTTCTTTGGTTTTATTTTTACATACCAACATTCATAAACACATACACTTGACCCACAGGGAATGGTTTCACTAAATTTATCCCTGCGTTTGCTTCTTTCAGAATTACTCCAGTTGAATTGTCTACATAATTACTCCTCCCTAACACTGGCTCTAGTGGAGTTGATTCACATGTTTTTATGTAAAACAAATATCAAATTAGATGAAAAACTGGAAACTCTTACCTGCTGGCTATATCCAGTTAACAAACACCAGAATATCCTCAGACAGTTAGAATCATAGGGCAGCTCATATTCTACTGTTACTCAAAATAACTACAGGAGTGCACAATGTGGCAAACAACTCATCTTGAGATGACCAGGCTTAGGATTCACATAACCCATTTTTTAAATAACTACAATTGTTAAGGGGAGAATGGAAGCAGCATACAGCTTAATTCTCTTCTGTGTCTAGCATGGAAAAAGGGCTATTTTCTTATATATACCATATCCTTTTTTTTAGTGCTTTTGAGTAATTTTTTTATTACTGGCCATTGTCTGCAAGTCCCTGCAGTTTTCTGGGAAAGATTTTCAGAAGTGGGTTGCTATTGCCTCCTTCCTAGGGCTGACAGAGGATAACTGGCCCAAGGTCACTCAGCTTTGTGCTTCAGAACTAGAACTCGTGGTCTGCTATATAACCTGGTGCCTTAACCACTGCACCAAACTGGCTTATGCGACCGCTGGCTAGTATAAAAGCTTGTTCACTGTTATCTAAATTACAGTAGCCTCCGGTCTAGGGTTGTGAAATATTTGAAGCCTCATGTAAATAAAAAAAATGCAAATAAAATTTTTACTTGTTAAAAAATCAAATGGGGGCAGTTCAGGGAATTTATTGTGGGTAGAAAATAACAAAAGAAACTAGGGTATGGATATCTGCATCAGTTGTCCCCAGTGATTCAGCTTACATCAGGCCCATATTTTGATGTTAATAGGTCATCTGAACTGAATGCTGCTAGTAATTTTGCCATGCTTATTGAAAGAATATTCTAGCCAGGTTGTGCAACAACTACAAAACAGGAGTTTTTCATGAATGTTAAAAAAAACTTAATATACAAATCTAATGTGGTTTCCCATCACTGCCCCTTAAATTACCAACACACCACTTTCTGAAACGAGATCTCTGACCTTCATTCTGATCCATTTTGATCCAGCTCAGCAAAGAAGACTTGACCCAAGTCTCAGCTATGTGACTATAGAGATATCATATATCCTAGGTCACAATGTCTCGGTGAGGTCATGGAAGACTTGAAATTAAAGTGACCTAAACTTGAGGCAATAAACATGCATAACATACAGGTAATCATAGTGATATGGAAATGTGGTCATTATAATCAGAAATAATACAATTTGGGATGCTCCATTGCCACCTGACATTTTAAGACACGAACCTTTCTGTGATTCATAGTAGTTATTGGATGGGTCCAGTAAAGGTTCTGCTTTAGAAGGGCCTGAAGGAAAGGAAACTATCACAAAAATACAGTAAAGAAGAATCAACAGATTATCTGATCTCTCAGCAATAACATGGACTTTTTACACTTTTTGGAGGAGGAGGAGGAAGGTGAGATTGTAGCAGATGCCTTAAAGAACGTCCTTCAACTTTTAGCAAATGTCATAACTGTGCAATGTTGACTCTATACATGTGAGATCCAAAAAGGGGAAATGGACATTGATGTTTTTGCATGAGTGTAAAATGGGTTAGTAACCAGAACTATAAATTCAGAAATGAAGAAAACTGCCATTGCAATTATTTTCAGCAAGAAACAAAAAACTAAGTAGATTACTTAATTTACATTTACTATAATAAATAAATGTGAACAACTGCATCTTGATTGAGCAGCCAATAATAAAAAGCCTATCCCCAGGCCCCAAAGAATAAAACAATACTATTATTACAAATGGAATTATATCTGTTGCATTAATGAGATAACAGAAGCTTACTCAATGCATGTGAGTTCCATAGAGGTTGCACTCTGGAATTCAGCTACATAATAATCAGTATTTTTAAAATGTAATTGATAAGCAAAATATATATGGTAAACTTCCTGAGAACCTTCTTACTGTATTTCCTTAATCCTTTCGTTCCCTGCCATGTCTAGTGACATTACCATCCACACAGTCCTATTAGATTAAATGTAGTCTGTGAGTGCAAAACATTAGCTTCTTAACTATTATAACAAAATGTTTGTGTGGCCTGAATCCAGGGGCTTTAAGAAATAGCCTGGATAACAAATATTGCCTATCTTAAAAGCGTATCTAAGATCTAAAGCCTCTCCAATCTTGGCTACAAAAATCTGGAAAACCATTTGATATCAAGAAAGAGTTGAAGTTTTATGTATCTTAATTGGAAATCCTAACTATGGTTTGAATAGTACTAATACTGCTCGTTATTCACAAATTATTATCCCATGATAGGCAAAGACAGCTGTTGGATGGTTTCTTGTTCAACACTGAGAACTCATCCAGGGAAACTAGAGCTCTGTCAATGGCTATGGCCAGCTTTCTTTCTTTTCACACATATCTAGAGCTATGGATCTCATGTCAGTTTTGAATATTAAGTAACACTTAAGAAGGGCCCAAAGCTACAAATTGGTAACCCAATGAGTGGAGGGAAGAGACAAATTTCCTGCATACCCACCCTCCAAGGATAACTGAAAAATCAGAATACAAATATCAGATTTAATAACAATATTACCTGAGGCCCTTGTATGATTTTGACTTTATTAAAAGAAGCTTTTTGCTTCTATTTAATAGTACAATAAATTACGACTTGGGAGTGAGAAAAGTGGTATCATGTCTAATGGCATCTAAAATCTTGTTTCCAGTCCTTGTGCACACTAGTATTCAAACAATTTCACTTCATTGAAGGAGAACCCAGCACACAAATTGTTTTCCAATTGTCACAGGAGATTACTATTATGGTCTTTCAATCAATGGTAGGAAAGGAACACTAGAAAAGGGAATGGCGTAATTTTAGGCAAAAGATCAATAAACAGTGGGGAATCTAACTTGGCTAACAGAAGGAAATAATTGAGAAAACAGAACTTTTCATTAGCCTTAGCATGGTGTCCTTTGAAACTAGCAATGGTATCCTTTTGAACCAGCACTGCAAGTGGTGAGGGGGATAACTTCAAATGACTATTTGTGGTTACCTCTTCTGACTCCGACCATAGACAACATCCATTGACTTGTAACAGATTTTTCATGAATGTTATGTACAACTGGGCAAAGAAATTCAAAAGGGAAAAAAATGAACAGCTGTTTAAGGGTGTCTGAAGTTTGTTAATAGATTTTCTGGATAGCATGCTGTGTATTCAATATCTCAAGAACCTTCTATTCATACAGAAAGTAATTAATTTGGTTGCAGGTAGTGAGATATCAGAACACAGCACATATGTGGAGACTTTATCAGTTGCTGATGCCTCTGAGGTAGCAGAAGAGAAAAGAGAAGACAGTTCCGACACAGATCTTTCAATTGAAGGTGAATATTCCCCTTCTGTCTTTCATACAAATATTCCCTACTTCTCAACTTGTGAAAGTTCCCCAAAATGCTCACCTTAACACAGGGCTTCTGTTGCTTACTTAAAGAGATTGTTTGCACTGTAGTTCACCAACTCAAAAGAAGATATAGATGGATCATACGGTAGTCTTGTCAACACCATTAGGTAGGATCAACCCAATCAAAATGAATTCATAAATCTAACATTGATTTGAAATAATGCAACCCTAATAGCACTTCATTACCTCATTACACATAATTAAAGAGCCAGTTTGGCCTAGTAATTAAAGGACCTGGCTAGAAAGCAAAAGACTGAGTTCCAATCCTACCTTAGCCATGAAATCAAGCTGGGTGACATTGGGCCACTTCACCTCACCTCTCAAGGTTATTGTTGTGGGGAAAATAGGGGGAGGGAGGTGTATATAAGGAGTTTTTAACGTATTGCATGCATAGGTATGTCAAGGCTCACTAGTTCAATTCTCTTTAATAATTGTCTTGTGAAGCCCTTGACAGGGCTTAATTTGTTTTTTCTGTATTGAACTAGAGTATGCATTGTTGTCTATATACTTATCCTTTGCAGATGCTGAGCGCTCATTTACAACTATAAAGGGTGCAGACCTGTATAGAGAGGCATGCAAACTGGTGGGAGTGATTCCTGTCTCATACTTCATGCGGAACATGGAAGAGCCTGTTATGAATCTCAACCATCATGGTCTTGGACCAAAGGGAACCAAAGCCATTGCTATTGCTTTGGTTGTAAGCACTTTTACCTGATGCTATTGCACTTCAACACTGTTTTCCCAGTTTGGGGAAGAAGGATTAAAGGGTCACCCTATAATACTGATAGATTAATTTAAACATATGGTAAAACTGGCAATTTCCACGAACCTTCTTCCTTCCTTCCTTCCTTCCTTCCTTCCTTCCTTCCTTCCTTCCTTCCTTCCTTCCTTCCTTCCATCTTTTAAGCATTTTAACTATAACTGAGTTTAAAATTAAACCACCAACTGGTGGTAAAGAGAGGATGATCTGCAAGAGATGTAAAGATTTGACATACTAGCTTTAATGTCTGCTACATAGACACAAGAAAAAACTCAGAGCTAAATATTTGTTTTCATGTTTAAGATATACAGCATTATTGGCTAAAGATTCTCACTGTGAATACATTGAGTGTGATCTATGACTGCCCTTCTGGTTATCTAGAAGCTGCTTATGCTCCAGAATATAGCAACATGAATTGTTATGGGCACTTCTAGTTTTGCCCATAATTTACATTATTTGTAAATTA